AAAGAAAAGGTTACCTAAGGCAACGGTTGTAGCTTCTTTTCTCCCAGTGGTCTCTAGAACTAGGGTAGACACCATCTCCCCTAGATGGTGCAGGGGTAGGTGTCCTCTGACCTAGATGTTAACGATCCTTCAAGTTCCCTTCCAGGCCCAGAATCCTATGACGCCATGAATCAGGTGGAATGTGACAAGGTTGCCTGGACAACTCTGGCTTTCGAGCCCTCACCAGGATTCCCTGGAAGCCCAGACTCACTGATGTCTCACAAACTCAGCTTGGTCTAGTGGCGAGGATGTCAGATGGAGGGCCTGCCCCAATACTTACTACCTGGATGACCTTTGGTGAGTCACTGCCACTCCCTAGACCTCAGTTTCCTTACCTGTAGAATGACAGTGGGACATCAATCAGATGGACCTCTAAGGTCCCCTGTCCAGGTCTAAAACTCTGATCATGATCCCATGTGGAGAGACAGACTAGATGGTAAGAGAACTTGGTAAAGAAGAGGGTTGGGAGAGAAGAAACAGGGAAGTGGTAGCTTTTAACAACTGGCTCTCTGAAAATACAATGCACTTTTACATTTATTTAATCTGCATTGTTAAAATTTTCTACACCACTTTCTTAAGTTGAGACAATCAACAAAATAATAACTCAAGCCCTGATCTGTGGCATTTGCAGATTTCCAAGGTGTAAATGCTCACAATGAACATTTAACAACCAGCTCTCCTGGGCTGTTGGAGCTGGTTATGAGAAACAACCTTGGATAGAATCAGGGAAGCTGGGGTGGTTTACGGAGAGGGAAAGGACTGGGAAAGATAATCAAGGCAGGGAGAACAACATGGAGCAGTAGCAGAAGCGCTGGGTCAATCAAACAAGTATTTACTAAGCACCCACTACGCGCCAGGGATTTGGAGCTAGAGGAGACCTGAATGGTAAAAGACAACAGCAGCAGCCGTGGCTTAGATGCAACAGCAGAGTAGAGGAAATGCCTCCTTGCCCATTCTCTTAGGGACCAGAGATGAAGAGATCTGGAAGGGTAGATAATCTTGCTTACCACCCAGTCCAATCCACTTATTTTACAGGTGAGGAAACTGAGGCGTAGAGAGAGAAAGTGACAGCCAAAGCCAGAAAGAAAGGCTGCACGGTGGAGTGAATGGCATCCCTGGAAGACGCTTGAGAAACAGGGACTTGGAGTGGGAAGAACCCTGCATTTGGAGTTGGAAGGCCTCAGTTTGAGTGTCTTTCAGGACAACTCAAACTGTTAGGATGGTTCTTCCTTACCTCAAGCCCAAGTTTGCAACATGTCTCCCCCCACCTTCTCCCCCCGAGGCCCCACAAAACCCCTCTGATGGTTCCTCTGACGGGGTGCTTGGGTGCTTGTGTTTGGCTGCTTGTACTTGGACCCCAATTTCTCTCTAGCCTCAGAAACACTGTCCCTGATAGTTTCTCCCCAGCCCAAGGACCCTGTGCTTAGCAATTATTCATGAGTGGGCCCAGCAAGACCCTTATCTCTCTCCCTGGTGCAGTTCCAAACAGCACCTGAAGGATTTATTAGTTTAAACTGGCTTTGCACTGGGTCATAAAGACATTCTTACCCACTACTATACCATCCTACCGCCCTACCTCATTATCTACATCCTGGGCTCCTCATTATCTGTATTCTAGACTTAAGACGTATGTATACTCCCTACATCTATCTTGTCAAACAAGACATTGATTGGTGGCAGACTGGACAGCTCTGTTACCCTGAACTCTGGTTGACTTAGTGACGTAGCAGGCCTAAAACCACACCTCCAAGTGGCCCTGCTTGTGGGCTTTTCCTAGTGAACTCTGGGTAAAACACCTGCACAGTAGGTACAAGAAGTGCATGTTCTTTTAAGAACTGACCACTCCTTAACCACTCCCTAATCCCACCCCCGAATCCCCTAGTTAGCATATTTGGCACATGTTTTATTGTATTTGATCCTATATAAACTTTAACTGTACCACTCTAAGGTTGCAGGATCCTTTAAGAATCCTTGCCTGCTGAAAAGTGTAACAATAAACTTTGCCACCTTGGCTTAAAGAATGCTTGAGTCTGTGAATTCATTCCAGATGACCTACTTACTTCAGTCTTTGAGGGGTCACAACCTCTCAACCTCTCAGCCCGCAACACCCCCACAAAACAGCCTTTCACATCTTTCACATCATGCCCCGACTGAATCTTCTCTAAAAAAAAATATCCCCGGTTCTTTCAAGTGCCCCTCAACCTGGACTCGGATCCCTTCACCACCCTGGTTCCCTTCCTTAGGATAAGCTCTCCAGCTTCTCACGGCTCCTCCTAAAATGGGGGGCGGGGCAGAACACAACAGTCCAGGTGTGGCCAGACCAGGGCTGAGAACAGTGCAGCTGCTCCATCCTTGGTCCTGGAGAGTATGCATTTTTAATATTGCACAAGCTCTAAAATTTCACTTCCTGGTTATGTTTCTGGCTCTTCCAGACCTGGCCACCACGATCTGGCTGCCTTCTCACCCTGAAATGTCTTTCCGTTCATCTCTTTCTCCCATTGGTGGGTTCCTTCCAGGGGCCTCCATTTTGAGGACAGACACAGGCCTAACCACGATTCATTCTCCTCTCAGCTGCGCTCTGTCTCTCCAGACTGGCAAGTCACTTAACCTTCATCCACTAGAGGGAAATGGCAAACCACTCCAGTATCTCTGCCAAGAAAACTCCAAGGACAGCGTTGGTGTGCTATGGTCCACAGGGTCACAAAGGTTTGGACATGGCTGAACAAACAACAGCGCTATCCACAGTGTCTGGTATACAGTAAACACTCAAATGCTTGCTGTCTGCCAGCCTTTCCTGGCTTCCATATCACACTGTTGACTCATGTTGAGCTTGTGGCCCACTAAAACCCCTAGATCTTTTTCAAATGAGCCATCTAGTCATCTTATACTTGGGAAGTTGATTTTTTTTTTCAGCCCAAGAGCAAGATTTTACATTTTTTCCAATTAAATTTTGTCTTAGCAGCATGTTCAATATTCTAGCCTGTGGAGATCTTTTTGAATCCTGATTCTTTCATCAAATAAATAATAAATACAGTAAAGTATTTTAAGCTGGTTGAAAGCTTGTTCAGTTGCCAAGTCTCTGCTGTTTACCTGGCAAATGGAGAAGCTTTCAGCCAGCTGAAAAGTGTTTTATTGCATTAGGGTCATCTTCTGTCCTGCGAGCTGCTAGAGGCAGCTATTAGGAATGTGAAGAGGTTACCCAGAAGGGCACTGAGGCTGAGCAGCAACACCTCACGCAATGATTTGTGGGAACCCACATCTACGTGACCGGGCATATTTCACATGTATAACATTCCCGCACAACAACAAAATCCACCACAGACGCGATACGAAACAGATGCCCTTCTGTAGAGCCAGGAGTCTATTTCTTCCCACCAAATCCCAGCAAAAGCACAGAGTCCACATTGTTGGGGGGAGGGGGGGCTTTGCTTGGTACCCCTTCCCCCAACTGACCAGATTAAAAAATATATATTCGCATGCAAAAAAAAAAAACCACCACAGTTTTCCAAAAGAGATGCATGAAGGTCTTTGCCCCTCCTTAATTTTTTTTAATTCAGTTTCATAGTACGGCAAAGAATCTATAATTTGAGCTCTAGTTTATTGCACAAATCTTTGCTACTCTCCTGAAACATTCACTTTTTTCTTCCTTTTCCATTCCTTCCCTTTCCCACTTTTTTTTTAATTTGTTTTTTTTTGGGGGGCTAGGCAATGGGATTAAGCGATTTGCCCAGGGTCATACAGCTACTAAGTGTCAAGTGTCTGAGGTCAAATTTGAACTCAGATTCTCCTGACTCTAAGGCCAGGGTTCTATCCACTGTACCACCTACCTGCCCCTCCCTTCTTACTTTACTTCCCTCCTCATCTTCTACAATCCAGTAACCCTGGCTTCCTGGCCTCCTAGCTGTTCAGCCTCCCTGACCTCCCAATTCCCAACCCTGTGTCTTTGCATTGGCTGTGTCCCATGCCTGGAATACCTCCCCACTCTTCCTTCCTGGCTTCCCTCAAGACTCAACTCAGACCCCGTCTCCTGCAGGAGGGCTTTCCTGCAGCTGCTAGGACCTTTCTCTTCCGTTATCACCTTTCAGCTGCTTTGTATAGCTCTCTTAGGTAACAATTATTTGCATGTTGTCTTTTCATTAGAATATGGCTCCTCCTGGAGAACAGGTACTAGGTTTTGTTTTTCTTTCTATCCCCAGAACTTAGCACAGTGCCTGTCCTATAGTAGGTGCTTAATAATAATTGCATATTGACTGATTGACTTTTCATTATTGACTAGAGATGTTTATGGGAGAATAGAAAGAGCCTGGATTTGCAGAAGGAAGACTTGGGTTTGCATATTATCTCTGCTAACAAATGCTTGTCAACTGATTGACATTAACTGAACAAATGATCACATGTGAATATAATGGCATATTGTTGTGCTATGAGCAATGTGGGAAGGAATGAATTCAGAGACAGCTGGGAAGACTCATATGAACTGATGCAGAGTGAAGTGAGCAGAACTAGAAGAACAACTTGTACAATGATTACAACAGTGGGAAGAAAACCACCTCTGAAAGACTGAGAACTCTAATCAATGAAATGACCCCTCACAACTCCAGAGGACCAGTAACGAAACATATTAGCTGTTTCCTGAAAGAGAAGTGAAGGGCTCAGAGTGCAGAATGCGACACAGAGTTTTGGATGTGACTGGCACAGGAATTTGTTTTGCTTGACTATAAATGTTTGTTACTTGGGAAGATTTGTTTTTTAAAAAATTAAGTGTGTGTGTGTGTGTGTGTGTGTGTGTGTGTGTGTGTGTGTGTGTGTTTGAGGGGGTACTGGTGATTCTGTTGCCAAAAAAAAAAAAAGAAGAAAGAAAAGCAAAGCATTGATGAAGCATTTTAAAATGCACAGGAGCAATCACCAGGAAGTTCAGAGCCGACACAATCAGGACTTCTTTGAAACTAACATGTTAAATTTATTATTTGCTTTTTAAACACTGAGCTGTATACAATAGGAGCAGTAGCTTCACATACAATCCTCTCTATTTTTCTTTGTATGTAGAAATGTTCCTATTTGCTGGGTTTTGTCAAGGTCACAGTAACAAAAAATAAAAAAGCTTTTAAAATATTTGTTTCTCTTAACAGGGAGGGGACAAAATTTACTGCTGGAACCCTAGGATCTTGGGGCAAGGGAGTAGTTCTTCATCATCCCCATGGGGACGTTTATCATAAATTTCAAGCCATCCAAGTATTAAACTCACATCTACAGGGAAGGAAGCTGCCTTAGGACTTAGGAGTCGGCCTGATGAGATTACTCACTGAAAGATTTCTGAGGTGGCCTGTGGCAAGGGGTTTTGTGTGTGTGGGATGAAACTCCCAGAAAGAGCTATAATTTGTCATTTGTGTGTGCCTGGAATGAGACAACCTTAGCCAGAGCAAGCAGCATGAAACACACCCTTGAATCACCTAATTCCTTCAGGTTACATCAGCCTTAAGCCCTCTCAGCTCTAAGTTGTGGAAGGACTACGAGGGTTTTCAGCACCCGCTAAACTGGGCAAAGCCTCACCCCAGAAACGCTCTGCCCCAGGGTGTCCCACGGAGGAGCTAACACTGACTACCTACCCCTTCACACCTCCAACCCTTAGAAGCCCATAGATTTCTCTTTGGGTCGTGTCAAGACCAAGACAAGTAGCCCAGGGCTCCCTTTATTGGCCAAAAAGAGTAGCTTGGACCCATTGGCCTGTACTCAACTTAGATCCCAAGGGCAGGAGATTGGCGAAGGACCTAAGCCACTAGATCCCAGCGGACCCTGGCTGTTCTCAGTTCTCAGTTGTCCTTCTTCAGATGCAACCTCTTGGCCACAGCTGTGATCAGGGCGGCCCCCTTTCCACTCCCATCTTCAGACAGCATGAACGTCACATCGCACTGAGGGGCCAGCTCTTTCACGGTTTCCCGCAAGATCCGAGAAAAGCTACAGAAATTTGTAAAGGGAAAAAGCGTAAGAGTTGGACAGAGGTCTCCCCTTTCTCATTCAAGCTGGTTGGTAAGTGACCTCCACTCCTAAGCACCAGCGGCTTGCCCCCGTGACCTGCCTCTCTGAGACGATCAGAAAGATCTTGCTGCCCTTTCTGGAAAGTGGAGACACCAGGTGAGTATGTGGAGCGAAAGGACATCGGCTGGAGTCAAAGGTTCAGATTCAAAGATCTTGGGTTACGGAAACCGCTGTGCATGTCCCCTCACCGCTCTCAGGCTCAATGTTCCCATCTGTCAAGTGGACTAATAAGAACTCCTGTTCCACAAGGCTGTTGTGAGGATCGAGTGGGAGAATATGTTTGAAGAGTTTTGCAAACATTGAAGTGCTGCATGGTAATCTAATAGGAATAATAATAGACAATTTCTAAGAATTGTCATGGCTGACAAACTCATCCCTCTTTAGCCAGCTTGGTGGTGGGTCTCTCTGAATGTATCTAGGCTAGCCCTGGAACGACAGAAATGCAATCTCTCACCAGCCCTATAATAAGATTCCATTTTTAATTTGATTTAGAGCTGTTATTTCAAAGGTGTTGGGAACTCCCCACGTGGAAACTCTGTCATCAATGCCTATGAGGAACTCTCCATAACTTAGATTTCAATTTAGAAAGTTGTCTGAGGCACTGAGATTGAGGGACTTGTCCATATGCTCAAGAAAGTGAAAGAGGAAAAAAAAAATTTTTTTAATGTTTTTTTAATTAAAAAAGGGGGGGGGGGAGGAAGTGGGATAGCCTCTCCCTGAGTCACCAGAATGCACTCTGCTTCGACAATTTGTACAGGAAAAACGAAAACCACATCACAGTATTCTACATGTTAAATATCTGAAACATGAAATTAGGAAATGTTTATTGTTGTTCTGTCATTTTTCAATTCTGTCTGACTCTCTGTGACCCTATTTGGACAAAGCTACTGGAGTGGTTTACCATTTCTTTCTCCAGCTCATTTTACAGATGAGGAAATTGAGGTAAACAGGGTTAAATGATTTGCCCAGAGTCACACAGCTAGTAAGTGTCTGAGGCCAGATTTGAACTCAAGAAGATGAGTCTTCCTGACTTCATGCCTGACACTCTATCCATTGTACCACCTAGCCACTCCTCATAATTAACATTTTTAAGTGTATGTATGTATGTATGTATATATTTTTGTAAATTCTAAAATCATATTCATAATTAACATTTTAAAAGATACTGCATCAATTTGGCATAACTAAGACCCAGCAGGGCTGAGTAGCTTGCCCAAGACGGTAAGCATCAGATGCAAAATTTGAACTCAGGTCCTCTGACTCCACATTGTTCCTCCCAATGTACCACTGCTTCCTTATGCTCCCTTCCACAATGCAGAATGATGGTCACTGAGGGTTGCTGAGGCTGATAGAATTCCTCATTTTATAGCCAACCTGGGTTGGTTCTGACCTTCTGAGCTTTCAAACCATTAAGCACTGTATGCATGTTAGCTATTATTATTGGCTGGGCAGGCACTGGAACAACAGATACGTGGACCATCACTGGGCTTGTTTTCAAAGCTTTCCTGGCTTGGTAGGAGCTGTCCAAGCTTGCCCTCCATTGGCATGGTTTTGGAGAGCCCGAGAACCTCTACATATCATGGTTGGGCAGCCAAGTATAGTGGTGTTGGGAGAAAGCTCACCATGGTATGGAAATGTAAGCTCCTATTATTATTAGTCTTCTTACTTTAAAAAGGAGTGATGAAGCTTGGAGAGGTTATAAAGCTGGTCACTACCTTGTTCTGTATCTATTTTGAATACTCATCTATACATATATTTGGTCTCCTCTGACAGAGTGTAGCTCCTTGAGGACAGATACTTTCATATTTGTGTTTGTTGTCCTATTATGTGCCTGGTACATAATAGGCACTTAATAAATTATTGTTAACTGAGTGATTGGTTGATCAATAGAAGAGCCAGGATTTAATCCCCAGGTCTCCTGGGCCTCTACATCTCTTCCCCCTACACTGGGCAAGTCAAGTCAAGTCAAGAAGTGCTTATTGAGCACCCACTGTATTCCTGGCACTGTGACTAAGCCTCTCAGGGTACTCACTGAGGATGCAGTTTGTAGAGTGTCCCATCCACGCCAACGGTGATTTTTAGGTGCTCAAGGTTCCGGTCTTCCCGTCTCTTCTCCACAATGGCAGCCAGGCCCGCCCCACAGAGCTGGGCTGCTCGCCGGGAAACAGCCCCACACACCTCCTTCACCACAATGCTGTCTTCACAGGTGCTGTCCAGGCCCAGCTGCTGCAGGATCCTCCGGACCTGGAGGAGGGCCAGCCCATCACTAGGACAGATCACAGCCAGAGAAAAGGAAAGAATCTGATCAAAAAAGCACATGAGGGCCTGGAGTCTCCTTTGGCTCTGAGCTCACAACCTGGGAAGAGACCAAATATTCCAACCACTGTCAGGAAGAACCCACCACATGTAGGCTATTCACTTTGTCTGTATAAGATTCACGGACTGTTAAGAACTGGAAAATCTGTGCTCCAGCTTCCTCATTTTCCATGTAACATGGTAACCAGGAGCCACCAATCTGCTGACATGCGGGTGCTTCCTATGGAGTTGAGCCTGCTGCCATGGAGTTGGCCCCTTTCAGTGACACATCCTCTAATACCTTGCCAAAAGTTGTACACACCCAGAGACTCCTGGATGGGCCCTTGGTCGCCATGATAGGGTAGTCTGGTTAGGGGGAAAGATAATGAGCTCCATTTTGGACACAGTGACTTTAAGATGTCTACTGGACATCCAGTTCAAGATGTCTGAAAGAAAAGTAGAGACGTGAGACTAGAGGTCAGCAGAGAGACTGGGTCAGGACAGGTAGATTTGAGAATCATCAGCATAGACATGGTGATTAAATCTGAGGGAGCTGACTTGGCCTGGTGTTCTATTCTGGGGTGGGGACAATGAACCAGAGAAAAGCTTGATCTCTCTCATCTCCTATCTCCAACTTAATGGTAAACTCCTTAAAGGCAGAGAGAGTGCTTCCTACATCTTTGTATTCCAGACAGCACCAGCATAGTGTCTATTGAATGAATAAATGAATCACATCCTGAAGGAACATGAGACAATTACATCCAAGTTCACGAAGATAAATTCCCGGCCATGACGGAGGTCACCCTCTAGACCCAGCCCATTATTTGAATTAGATTCAGAGAAGAAAAAGCAGGAGAGCCTTCCTCCCTTCCTTCTCCCTTTTCCCTCCCTTTGAGCAATTACTTTACACCTTGCCTCCCTTTCACTGGAAAAAGGCCAACGTCTTCCACTGCATCCTGGGACATCTCCAGTCATCCTGATCTATACCTTGCCATGGACCCAGATGGCTCTGGAAGAGAGAACGAGGCTGGTGCCTTTGCACAGGCCTCCCTCACTTAAATTCAATTCACTTGCAAGTCATGGCATCACCTTCCTGATGTCATGGTCCTCTTCGAGAATGAGGAACAAACAACAATAGCAATCCTTTCACTGACAAACCCCTGATATCAGTCAGCTACACCCACTGCCATCACTGCCTCACCACCCACCCACTTCTCAGCCCCTTGTGACCTAAAGTCTGGCTCCCCCGAATGAAACTACTCTGTCAAAGGCCACAAGTGACCGCTTCCTTATTCGCTCAGATGGCTTCTTCTCAGTTCTCAACATCCTTAACCTTTCGGTAGCTTCTAACAGTGGTCACCCACTCCTCTTCTGACTGCTCATTTCTCCTAGGCTTTGGTGACAACACCCTCTCCTGGTCCTCCTCTTAGCCGTCTGACTGCTCCTTCTCACTCTCCTTTGCTCATCTGTTCTCTTCCTTCCATCTTCAAAGTGTATCTGGGGCCCCTCAAGGCTCTGCCCTGGGTCCTCTCCTCTTCTCTTTTTATGCCCTACCGTTTGGTTATCTCCTCTGTTCCCCTGGGTTCCACCATCATTTCTATGCCAATGACTCCCAAATCTTTATTTCCAGCCCTGAGCTCCAAGTCCTGGAAATGGCCTCTTGGGTGTCCTGGGGGCATATCAGACTCAACTCACCTTCCATCCCTAAACCTACCACTTCATCCCAACTTTTCTATCTCTATGGAGGACACCACCATTCTTGTGGCCATTGAGGTTCAAAATATTAGAGTCTTCCTTAACTCCTTCTCTCTTGCCCCTCATAGCAAGTACCATCCATTCTACCTCGGCAACATTTCTCATCTATCCATTTCCACTCACACCACCATGACTCTTGTTCAGGTCCTCATCTTAAAAGTTCTCATTAGTCTTTCCACCTCTAGTCTCTCCCTTTTCTAATTCATCCTAAGCACAGGTCTGAGTGTGCCATTTTCCTGCTCATACACCTTCCCTATTGGCCCCCTATTGCCAATGGAGTAAAATAATAACTCTTCAGACAGTATTGAAAGCCTTCCACAACTGGGCTCCAACCTAGCCTCTCAGCTACGTTTCACTTCCTTCTCCTTCACACACTCTAGCTAGATGACTGGTTGTCTCCTTAGCTTCAAATGCCATCTCCCACCTCCACACAGTGCTTCTCACATGCTTGGAAGCTACTTCCTAACAAACTACCCATACCCATCAATTCTACTATCGGGCATATACCCCTAACAAAATCTAAGAAACAAGAGTCCACTATGTACCAAAATGGTCCTAAGACTTTCTTGGATTGCAAAGCACTGGAAACAAAGCTGGTACCAATTGGGGGTGCAGCTGGAAAAATAATAGTAGACAAGTGCAATGGAATATTGTTATGCAAAAAGCCATGATGTGCACAAGGAATTCAGAGAAATGGGAAGATTTGTATAAACTGATGCCAAATGAAGCAAGTAGAACCAAGAGAACAATTTACACTGTGACTACCACAAAGTAAATTTGATGATCACTACAAGGAAGTTGAACTCTGAACAGCAGAAAGAAAAAAAAAGTGAAGAGATGAAACATCATCATCTTCAGAACAGAGAAATGTGAGACAACTTGGATAGAATATTGTATAAGATGTTAGACCTTATTTCTGCATTACAAGTTTTTGCTCACTTGTTTTTTCCTTCATCCTAAGAGAGGGTTCAATCTGCTGAATGGCGATGGAAAATGACAGTGATGTGAAAATAAAAAACACCAAGAAAAATACATATATTCAATATATTATTTTGATTATAAGTTTATAGATTTAATGTGTTATATTAATATATAATTATATAATAGTTATATATTCTATTTATACTATATAAATATAAACATTTATATATTTATATAAATGTGTTTTTATGATGTATAACATATAATTATGCAATATATATTTTTAATCCATCTTACTTTAAGACTCACAGATGTTCAGATGTTCGGCTCTTTTATGAAACCTTTCCTGATGTTTCAGCTGAAAGGGTTCTCTCTTTCCTCAAATTTACTGAGGGCATCTTGCCCGGACCCTCCTTTGAGCAGCTAGGTGGCCCCTCAGCGCACAGAGTATTGGATCAAGAGTCAAGGAAGACCTGACTTAAAATCCAGCCTCAGACACTTAATAGCTGTGTGACCTTGGGCAAGTCCCTTAACCTCTGTCTGCCTCAGTTCCGTCATCTGTGCAATGGAGATAATAACAACTCCTCCCTCCCAGGGTTGTCGTGAGGATCAAATGAGATACTATTTGTAAAGAGCTTTGCCAACCTTAGAGCACCCTATAAATGCTGGCATTATTATTATTTTTTCCCTTGCATTACACTCATGTGTCATCTCTCTCCTGGTGGTCCCATATGTAATGAAGAGCTGACTTTTCTGTACCACCATACACTACTGATCACCTCATGTGGTGCTCCAATCACTCTGGGAGGCGGACAGTCCAAGTGTTGGCCTCCATTTTTTTCCAGTGAAGAAACTGAAGCTCAGCAGGGACAGCAGAGTGTAAAAGGGATTGTCACAAGCGGGATTTGAGCCCAGCTCCCCCCTGATCTCAAGCCTATCTCTCTTCCCACTAGGGTCTCCATAAGGGAAAGGACTGGGTCGTTTTTTCCATCTTTGTATCAGCACCTCTGACAGCGCCTATAGAGTACATGCTTAATAAGTGTTTTTAATTGTATCTCCAGACTCTGAGCAGGGTAATATTTAGGGAACAGGGAGGATGTCACATTGGACAATATCTTCTGAAGTTTAGGGAGGTAGACTGAGGACTGGTGATGATAATAATAATAGCGTTTAGATGGTCTTTTAAGATTTGCAAAACACTCTACATATTCTAATTAATTTGATCCTCAACAACCCTGGGAGGAAGTGCTATTATTATTCCCATTTTACAGATGAGGAAACTGAGGCAGAGGTTCAGTGACTCGTCCAGAGTCGCACAGCTAGTGAGCGTCTGAGGCTGGATTTGAACTCGGGTCTTCCTGATTCTGAGTCTCATGCTCTTATGTTACCAAGCTGGAAGGCCCCTTAGAGAACTTTTGGTTGAACCCCTTTATTTTGCATATGAGCCGGTTAAGATCCTGAGAGAAGAAGGCCACAACCCAGAGCAATGAGAAGCAGAGCCAAGATTTCAAGCCCAGCTCTCCTGATCCGAGAGCAGTGCTTGCCGGGCTGACTTGACGCCTCCCATCTCGTGGGCAGAACTGGGAGGGAAGAGCTTCCTTCCTTTTCTCTCAGACATGGCAGGGCCCTTGAAGTCAAACCCAGATGAAAGCAGCCTTCTTCCCATTAGACATGCCTCCCACACAGGAGGAGCCAAGCGCCCTGAAAGCAGATCCATCGCCTTCAGCATTGGCCTGAGAAGACTTTTGGTGGTGTTGGTGCTGCAGTCAGGTGGGCGAGCGACTCCTCATCGCTTCCAAGCCGTCATCCAGGGCAACTGCTCCAAGTTAGCATTTGGAGAACAATTTGGTGAAACCATTCACATTGAAAGGTGACCTCTTGTGGTTACCGTGAGACTGCGCGACGCAATGGGTAAAGTGCTGGAGTTAGGAACACCTGGGTTCAAATCCATGACTCTGGGCAAGTCATTGAACCTCTCTGTGCCTCATTTTCCCTATCTGTAAAAGAGGAGGGTAGACTCCATGACCTCCAAGGTTCCTGCTAGCCCTAAATGTCTGATTCTGCGATCAATGAGTTTATAAAGAATCATGAGATATTTTTGTCATTGCATTAAAAATCCATCAGAGGTGACTAGAGGAGAAGTTGCTTTTAAAGCACCCTGAGCTGATTCTTTCAATGATAAATGGAGGGCACAGTTCCCACTCTCTCACCACCCTTGCCCACAGCTCCACTCTTAGGGTCCAGAAAGATGACATTTGCATGAGCCTGAGAGGGTGACACATGAGCAGAGTCATTACCTTTCAATCTGAGATAGGAACTTGGTTTCAAATATGCCTCTGGTTCTGAGCCGTTCTGAAATCTGCCCTCGAAACAAAAGTCCGTGCTTGGTTAGGTCGATCAGAATCTGCCTCACGATTTCCCCAAGGTACATGCCACTGGTCATCTTCTCATACCTTTTCCAAGGAAGAATAAATGGGAGCAAGCGTCATGTTAACCAAGTCATGATGAAAACTGATGTGACCTTGAGCGAGTCATTAAACTGCTTTGGGCCTCAGTTTCTTCATCTGTAAGATGGGCATAGTAATCATTGCCTTGTCTCACTCAGTTCTGGGCCTCCACAGCATTTTATGAACACCGTCCACCATGTTATCTCCACTCTACTCCACCCCACCCTGGCCATTCCTCTCCCTAGCCATGCCACACTGGGTGTACCTCCTGTTTCCAGCTCCCCTTTACATGTTATCCACCTCTACTGGAATGTAAGTTTCCCGAGGGCAGAGAATGTCTTCTTTGCTTCTCTTTGCATTCCCAGTGCCTGACATATACTAAGTGCCTAATAGATGCTCTATCTGTCCACCTCACAGTGTGGTTACAAGGAAACAGTAAACTCCAATGAAGTCAAGAAATGTGAGTTACTGATACAAGAGTAATTATAGATGCATAAATAGTGTTTATCTAAATGTATGCCCTCCAGAGCCATTTTTGAGTGGCAGTAGTTGAAAAAAAATCCTCCCCTGTTGGCCAACCTGGTAATTTAGACCTTTCTAAATTGAGCTATGCCAATGACGTATAATCTATCACCAGCCCATCCTCAGAGCCCTTCCACCTTAGAAGGATTCCCTTCCCCCCAGCTCACAATCTATTGGCATGACCCTTAAAAACCCTGAGTCATCTCCCTACTGTGATGAAGCATCAGAGTTGGATGGAGTTAGTGGAGGAAAATCAGTCTAGTATCTCAAATGTTTTTGTTGAGTCCCTTGACTTTCCTGAGTATATAAAAACATATCAAAAAGTGGTTTGTAAATCCCTTCTTTCCTGGCACTTAATCCTTTCATCTCCTGTTCTTTCCTTTTTGTTACTGCAAAGACTTAAAAAACTATTCTGAATGGGAGTGAGAAGAGTAGACAGCCCTGCTTTTCCCCTGCTCTTAATGGCAAAGTCTCTAATGTTTATCCATTGCATACAATGTCAACTCTTGGTTACAAATAAATATAATCCCAATGAAGGAAAATCATTTGATTCCTATGCTTATTTGGGGGGTTTTTTTGTTTTTGTTTTCATTTTTAAATATAAATAGAAGGTGACCACTTTTTAAAAGATTGTTGTCTAAGGCACTAGGGTCTGCTTCAAATTCCCTTTGTTGAAGGAGGGAGTAAGTCAGTGAGTTCTTGAACTATGCCCCAACACGACCCTACCAGACCTTAAGTGCATAGATTTAGGGCTGGAAGGGGCTTTAGAAGCCACCCAGCCCAACCCCCTCATTTTACAGATGAGGAAACTGAGGCTCAGGTAAATGAAATGGCTTGCTGAGGGTTACACAGGAATAAGTAAGTGGCAGACCCAGGCCCAGGGCTCTTTCCCTGCCCCAGCCAGCCTCTCCTTTAACCTGGAGGGGAGTGAATGCAGCCTGTACATGAAGCTCGCCTCGGAACCACCTCCTCTTTACCTCTGTTTGCCAGGATTTAGGGAGCCTTCATCCACCTCGGTGTCATACTGGGTCCTGATCTCGTCCAGGCAGCCATTGTCCCCAAAGCCGCCCCACTCAGTGTTGATGCACATCTTGCCCTCATTGCCCTCGACCAGCTCGATGTTCTTCATCTCTTCCATGTAGCACATGTTGCTGCCGGTTCCTAAGAGGAAGCCCCAGTGGCCGTTAGACCAGCTGCAGTGAGCAGGAGGTATTGTAACAGATGAAATCAGGCTCACCTGCGATGAGACCAATCTCACAGTCTGGGTCTTCATAGCCACAGGTCATCATGGTGCCCACGGTGTCATTGACGACCGCAACAATATCCAATTCAAATTCCTACAACAGGAGGGAGTTCTGCGGTGAGCCCCGGGAGCCTGCCGCAGCCTGTCTCATCACCCCTGCGCTCCCAGGCTACAGGCACTCAGGGGAAGAGGGCCCAGAGAGCTGGGGAGTAAGGCTGAGGGAGCACCTACATTTCTCCTCTTAATGGCCTCCCTGAGCATGTCCACGACATCTTCCCCTTCACAGTCTGTGGCTTTGAATCCTTTGGTCCACTCTACGAGTGTCCCCTGAAAAAGAAGGCAGGAAGTTGATATGAACAATAGAAGAATCAATTAACCCCACCCCCCGCAGTGCCCATACAGCTTATCATGACCTTGGTTATGACAAGGGTCAGATTAACTCAGTAAACTCAAGATGTGGAGAAGATGGCTGTATGGAGGATGGATTGGGAAAGGTAAGTCACTAGGACCTGGGAGATCAGTTGCAGTGATCTAGGGGAGAGAAGGGATGAGGGGCCAGTAGGATGATAACTGTGGGGGGGGGCAGGGAGAGAGAGAGGAGAGAGAGACAGAGAGAGAAAGAGAGAAAGAGAAGAGAGAGGAGAGAGAGGGAGAGAGACAGAGACAGAGACAGAGAGAGGGAGGGAGGGAGGAAAGGAGAGAAGGAGAGAGAGAGAGAGAAGAGAGAGAGAGAGAGAGAGAGAGAGAGAGAGAGAGAGAGAGAGGAAGGGAGACAGCAGAGGGAGAGAAAGAGGGAGGGGGAGAAAGAGAGAAAAAGAGAGAGAGAGAAAGAGAGAGGAGAGAGAGAGGAGAGAGAGGGAGGGAGGGAGAGAGAGAGAACAGAGACAATGTGGTGAAAAATAGAATCAACAAAATCTGACCACTAAGTGCATGAGGGGTGAGGAAGAAGGAAGAGCTGAGCATGACTCCCAGGTTCCAAACCTGGGTGATTAGAAGGATGGTGATGCCCTTGACAGAAATTGAGAAAGTCAGGAGAAGGGTTTGAGGGGAAGTTGTTTTCAGATGTGTTCAATTTGGATGTCTTATATATAGGACATCCTATAGGATGTCCAGTGAGAAACGTCCAAAAGGCGGCTGGTGACACAGGACTGTAGTTCAGAAGACAGACTAAGGCTAAACATATGGATCTGGGAATTACCTGCATAGAGATGATCACATGGGAGTTGCTGAGACCACTGAGAGAAAGAGGACATAGAGAGAGAAGGGGAGAGGGTGAAGGACAGAGTCTCGGTGTGCCTGGTGTTATTTCTGCCCCAAAGAAGCTGAACCCCATCACCTCTGGAGTCCCCACTAGCTCTAAGAGGGGCAACATGATGTTTCCATTACAGCTGGGAAGCTTCATCCAAGAGGATTTTTAGAGGGAGAAAAAAAGCTCCATATGATATTCTGGGTCTCAGTTAACTGAGTATCAGGTGGAGAGAGAAAGTATGGTCCAGTACCTAGGCTACTAGGGTTCAAGTCCTACCTCAGCCACTGGCTTGTGTGGTTTCTAGCAAGTCTTCAATCTAACCCTTAGGCCTCAGTTTAGCAGAATAAGCAAGAGCATGGTGATAAGTCAGAACTGCTCCCCAAAGAGGGGAGAGATGGTGGTGATGGCTGAGAATACTGCCAGTGTTTCTGTACAGAACAGTCTGAGACTCAGATCTGAATCCTCAGCATCCCCTGAAAATAATGGCAGCAACAGCAGCAGTAGTAGTAATAGTAGCAGTAGCAGCAGCAGAAGTAATAGTAACAGCTAGCAGTATATATATATATGTATGTATGTATGTAAATACACATATTATACATATAAAGATGCACACACACATATACACACTATACAGCAGCAGCAGCAGCTTGGTTCTAGAGGCCTGCATGCCCCAGAGCCTTCCTGTGAAGGATGGACTAAGACAAGACATGGAGGCACTGGGGTTCCTTACTTGCTGACTGAAATGCTATGATTCAAAGCAGCAAGCACTTATTAAGCACCTCCTGTGTACATCACTGGTCTGAGCACTCAAGGAGATGCACAGTTTGAAAAGACCTCATCTCTGTCTTTAAGGCAGTCCTTGGCTGGGAGAGAATAAGACATTCAGACACAAACAATTTGATATACTCTATAACACCAGTGTATCAGGGTAAAAAAAGGGGTTCTGTAGAGGGGAAGGTTATTGTTGACAGGCCAAGGAGATCAAGAGAGTCTTCCTGGAGCTGGACTGGGAAGGATGAGGAGGAATTCACCAGGGGCGGAGGGGGAAGGAAGGTGTTGCAGGCGCAGGTAGCAGGATGGACAAGCTCACAGACTGAAAGCTTTAGAATTAGGAAGACTTGGGTCCAAGTCTTAACTCTGACACACAATGGATGTGTGACCTTGAGCAAGTCACTTCAGCTCTGTCTGCCTCAGTTTCCTCATCTGTGTAATGAGGATAATAACATCCCAGGATATTGTGAGGACCAAATGAGATCATATTTAAAAAGCCCTTCACACACAGGAGGCACTTAATAAATGCTTCTCCCCCCTTCTCCTTTCCCTTCCTCTCTGAATGCCCTTTTTCTTTCACAGGGCATATCATCTTGGGTTCTGACAGCTCATGTTTTTATGGACGGGAAGGAGACTCTGAGAGGCTTCGACACTTTGGTGACCTCAGCCCTTTCCATCATCTCCAACTGCATCAGCTCTCGCACCCCCAACACATGCAGCTCCTTTCCGACACCTCTTAATGTGTCCTCTCCTCCTACTAGACTATAAGCTCTCGGAGGGCAGGGATTGCTTTGCTTGCTTGTATTTGTGGCCCCAGAGCACACAGAAAGTGCTTAATAAATCTCTATCATACACATGCACATTAGCTCTGCCTCTCATCACTGTCCTGCTTGGGGCTAGCCAAGGCCCTTCCCTCTGTCTGTCTCCAGGGCACTGCATTTAGAATCAGAGGCTCCGGGTTTGAAGCCCCTCTCTGACACTCAGTGGTTGTGTGCCCCAGTTTCCTCATCTGTCAGATGAGAGGGTTAGACCGGATGTCCTCTGAGGTCCCTCCCAGCTGCTTGGCCGGTGACTCAAGAGGGTCCATGCAACTTTGCTGGGGGAAGGAGCAGTGCACCCCAGGCTGCAGAGGCCCAGGCCTTACCTTGTCGAGGCCGGTCTGCTTGCAGGGGAAGGAGAACGTGAAGCCCAGGGGCAGCCGACTGGCCCCCTTGATGCCCATGTAATCCAGGAAGTCGGCGATGCAGTGCACGATGTGGTCAAACAGCTGTGGGGAGAGGGGGGGAGGGCGTCACATGAAGGCGGTGCGCAGGGGAGGCTGCCCACCACCAGCACGGCCCGGGCCCACAGAGGCAGGTGCCCAGAGTTACCTCTTCCCCCATGCCCTGCATGATCTCCAGCGGGATGGCGAAGATCTTATTGTACATCCTCACCGATCTACGCCCACTTCTGATCTTCACCAACAGGACCCGGAAATTGGTCCCTCCAAGATCCAGAGCCAGGTAGTTGCCCTTCTCTGCAGGGAAGAAAATCATAGTGTCTTGTGAGCGATGGCTATTCCATGTGAACCAGCAGCCTGGGGTTCTAAAGATGTGTTCATAGACTCACAGATCTAAGCCTGGAAGGGGCCTCAGAGGTCTCTCTTCCTGGGTGTCCCTGCCCCCGCCAAGGCTCATCACCCTCATTTTATAGATGAAGTGAGTTCAAATCTTGTCCCAGACACTTCCTAGGCTTGTGTGACCCTGGCAAGTCACTTCACCCTGTTTGCCTCCATTTCTTTCATCTATAAAATGAGTCGGAGAAGAAATGGCAAAATGCTCCAGTATCTTGGCCAGGAAAACCCCAAATGGAGTCAGGAACACTCAGACGTGACTGAAAATGACTTAACAAGAACAACAGATACATCCAAACGGCAGAAAATTGTGGGATAACTCTGGTGTATTCATGACTCCTTTTCATGACTGGCAGCAGCCCAAGGGTCACGCCGGCATCTCCAAGGCTGGGCCTGTGGAGCGCAAGAATATGGCAAGCCCACCCACGCTGCAAAGGCTGAGTTTGAGACCCTAAACAGACGGAGGTTCATCACCACACTGGTCACAGGGGGATGACCTTTGACCATTGTAACTCGTGAAGAACATAACATACTCTACTGAGAGGAGTGTAAGCTCCCTGAGGGCAGAGACTGGTTCATTTCTGTCTCTGTATCCCCAGGGGACATAGCAGATGCTTAATAAAAAACAAAAAAATCATTGCCTTGAATTGAATTATCAGGTTATCACGGGATTTGATCTTTGCCAGCAGAGGGAGCCGCTGCACAGAGGAAACCATCACTCCTTGAAGTCTGTTCCCAGGGATCACAGGGTCCCAAAGTGGGACCTGTGCCTAGGACCGAGGAGGAAGTGGTGGACTCATCGTGGAACCCTGAGGGCCAGCTGAAGTGGAAGCCTGCTCAGCCTTTGGGTTTTGTCGTGGTTTTTAAAATCTGGATTTTGATTTCATCGCTGTTAGGTATTTCTGATGTGGCTGCTCTCTCTCTGCTGATGCAGATCAGGGATTCATTATGTCTTAACAGTGTGCCAGAGTTTCCTGGGGCACAGAGAGGTAAAGGGACTTGACCACTGTCACACAGCCACCCTGTGTCAGAAGATGGATTTGAACTCAGGTCTCCCTGAGTTCAAGACTGTGATACCCCACTGCTTCTTGGGCAGAAATGTGAATCAAATCAGCATCACAAAAATCATAGACAGAGCTGGAAGGGGCCTGAGAGGCTGTCCAGTCTAATGTCTGCATTTTACAGGTGAGGAAACTGAGACTGAGAGAGGTGACTTGCCCAAGGTCACACAGGGCATAAGCTTCCAAAGCAGAATGTGAACCCAGGGCCTCTGACTTCAGAGCCAGGGTGCTCTTTCTGCTGCAATACCTGTACAATTGGAGGAGCCTTTCTAAAGGACATCCCAACCCTGACCAGATGTCCTGCTCCCCTGCTTCCCCAACAGTGCCAGGCAAACTTCAGCACAAAGAAACATTACGGGAGGCTGCTCACACGGCCCCATCCGGACCGGGGTCCCCGGCCTGCCCTCCCTGGGCCTTCCCCTAGACCCAAACTCCCTTTCTTAGCCCTCACTGCCCCATATGTGAGCACCTTTGAGACCGGAGGTATCTCACCTTTGCATTTGTATCTCCAGTATCAAGCACAGTGCAGGAGGGAGACTTAGTAAGCACTTTTTCACTCTCTCAAAAAATATCTATTATATTTACACACCTAAGTGGTGCAGGGGATAGTGTACTGGGCCTGGAGTCAGGCAGATCTGAGTTCAAATCCAGCCTCAGACACTTACTGGCTGGGTGACCCTGGACAAGTCACTGAAATACCGTCTGCCTTGGTTTTCTCATCTGTAAAATGGAAATAATAATGCACCTACTCTCAGGGTTGTTGAGATGGTCCAATGAGATAATATCTGTGAAGCACTTTGCAAACCTTAAAGCATTGTATAAATGCTAGCTATTATTATTATCGGGTACCCTAAAAATGGACATCTACGAAGAATATAAAACCGTTGAGTTTTTTGTAATCCTATGCATTTTATTTTATGCATTTAAAAATGTGATTCTGAGAAGGGGTCACCAGACTGTCGAGGGTTGGGGAGGTCCCCACGGCACAAAAAGGGTTAAGAACCCCTGCTTTAGGCAGATGCAAAGTGAGGATTCTAGATAAGAAGGTACACAGTGACAACAGCTATTTTTTCTAAAAAGGCCGAGGACCTTGGGGATTCAAAGGGGGACAAAATAATGTTTTGTGTTTTTATTTTGTTTAAATTGGACATTATAATATTCTTATGTTTTTCTTTGTCACCAAAACATAAGTACTTCAAAGCTTGAGGCTTTGTTTAGAGAGTTAGCTCACATTTCATTTCATTCTTTGTCTATTAGTATTTGTGAAGTTTAAATGAGAATGTAACAGATTGTTTTTGTTCAGTCGTGGCTGACTCTAGACTTTTGTCCATGGGGTTTTCTTGTTGGACATTTCCTTCTCCTGTGTGTCTCCATTTTACAGATGAGGACCTGAGCCATTTAAGGGTGAATCGACTTGCCCAGGGTCACACAGCTAGTAAGTGTCTGAGGTCAGATTTGAACTCAAGACTTCCTGGCTCCAGGATTGGCACTCTGTCCACTGTGCCACCTAGTTGCCCCCACATAAAGGATTATTTTATAGTGTAATACTTTTTGTTTGGATGGATCTGTGATTTTAGACACGAGGTACTACCTCCGCTGATCCCAACCCGTGCACGTCTGCCCAGCCTATACATCCAAAGTAAACAGGTGTGTGACCTTGGACAAGTCTCCTCCCTTCTCCAGGTTTGTTTCCTTGTAAGTGAGTGAATTGGATCAGATGTCCTCAAAGGTCCTTCTGGGCTCTAAGCTTATTATCTCAGGGCTACAACAAGGCTTTGGACATCTGCACAAAGATCTGAATCAGGCCATACACCAAATGGCAGCTGGAGGGCCGAATGCTTGCCTGCCATACCTGTCCCGTCAGGCATGGCACAGACGTAGGTGGGCAGCATCTTCACAGTGGCCAGGGGCTGGGTCTCCTTCTTCAGCCCATACTCCATCTCGGCCCTCATCTTGTTCTTCACGTTTACCAGGTGCTCTGGCGTCAGCTGGAACAGGGACAGCACCTCATCGATCAGCTTCCGTTGGGCCTGCACCCGGGCGGCCACCGCGGTCACCATGGCCGCCCCCTTGGCGCTGCCGCTCTCGGAGAGGAGGAACCGGACGTCGCAGTTGGGGACCAGCTTCCTCACCACTTTGTGCAGGCGCTTCGGGTACCTGCAGCGGAAGAATGACCCAGGATTGTAGAGCAAGGATTTAGAGCCCAGGGGCCTCGTGGGCGTCCAGACCAACGCCCTCGTGCTACAGATGAGCAAACCCAGATCCTGAGACAGGAGGAGCGGGGGCCCACAGGGGCGCAGCGTGGAAACAGCAGAGCGGGGCTCCCTGACCCCCTGCAGAGCTCTTCCCCCTGGCCCGGCTCCAGCTCTCTGGGGGCCCCTCCCTGGTGCCACAGCCCATCCTCCCAAGGCTCCAGCAGCTCCTCGAGGAGCTTCTCAGCACCCTCCACTTCCCTGAAGCATCCTTCACTTCGGCTACGGAACCTTGCCTTTCCTGTTTTCCCCCATCGCAGGACTGGAATGACCGGAGGGCCTGCCTGACCTTGGCAGAAGACCTCTACCTGGGTAATGTAATCAAATTCAATTCGACCTACCATGTGCCAGATGGCCAGAGCACTGAGCCGGGAGACAGAAAGACCTCAGACCCTTACAAACCGTGTGACCCTGGGAAGGTCACTTAACTGCTGCTTGCTCTGTCTCCTCAACTGTAAAGTGGGGATGATAGCAGCCCCGCCACCCAGGGTTGAGATGAGGATCAAATGAAATAGTATTTGTGTGTTAGCACGGTGCCTGGCACATAGTAGGCGTTATGTAAAGGCTTGCTCCTTCCCCCAGACATTCGGGAGGCAAAGGCCAAAATGAAAGCAGCCCCAGAGTCCCCAACAGCACCATGCTTACTGAGCGCGCTCGTGCTCTCTTGCTCCCTCTTTCTTTCTTCTTCTTTCTCTCTGTCTCTCTTCTCTCTCTATCTCTCTCTCTGTCTCTCTGTCTCTCTCCCCTCTCTCCTCTCTCTCTCTCTCTCTCTCTTGCTCTTTCTTTCTCTCTCTCTCCTTTCTCTCTGTCTCTCTTCTCTCTCTATCTCTCTCTCTGTCTCTCTCTCTCTCTCTCTCTCTCCTTTCTCTCTCTCTCTCCTCTCTCTTTCTTTCTCTCTCTCTCTCCTTCTTTCTCTCTGTCTCTGTCTCTCTCCCTGTCCCCTTCCTTATCTCTCTCTTTCTTTCTCTCTCTCTCTCTCCTCTCTCTCTCTTTCTCTCTCTCTCTCTCTGTCTCTCTCCCCTTTCTCTCCCTCTTTCTCTGTCTCTCTTCTCTCTCTGTCTCTCTGTCTCTCTCTCTTCTCTGTCTTTCTTCTCTCTCTCTCCCTCTTTCTCTCTGTCTCTCTGTCTCTCTTCTCTCTCTATCTGTCTCTGTCTCTCTGTCTCTTTCATCGGAATCTAAAGACATTTCCTATACTCATCCTTCCTGACCTGGGTCCCCTTGAGATTCCATAACCTGTAGGGGTTGGTTCCTCCATGAGTCTGCCCAGGTGAGATAGGTGAAAAGTGATGGCTCTGGAGCCAGAAGACCCAGGTTCAAATCCTGCTATTTGGATGACACTGGGCCTCAGTTTCCTCCTCTGTAAAATGAGGAAGGCAGGACCAGAAATTACCCCTTCCAGCCATAGAGATGACAACTGAACCACATTCAGAGCCTGCAGTCTTCAGTGCCAGATGGGCCCCAAGACTGTCATCTACTCATTTTACAGATGAGGAAACTGAGGCCAGGGCGGTTACATTACCCAGGTAGGGAGCAGCAGAGCCAGTACTGGGAGGCAGCAGCGTCCTTCCCACTGGCTGTAGGGTGATGAGGCGGGGTGGGGGGCTTTCCTTACTGAGGGTGGATTTTGTAGAGGGTGCCATCCATTCCCACAGTGGTCCGAAGCCGGGTCAGCTTCTTATTCTCCTGGAGGCGGGTCAAGATGGCAGCCAGGGCGGCTGCACAGAGATTAGCTGATCGGAATGAGACAATGGTACACACGTGTTGGACCGCCAAGCAGTCTTCCTCTGAAGGCTCCAGGCCCAGCTCCATCAGGATTTCTCTGGTGTTCTGTAGGCCTTCCTTATACCTGGCCAAGAACCAAGAAAGCAAACATCTCGATTGACCTACTGCCCCACCCTACCTGGGTGGGGGAGGGAGGTGGTTTGTGGAGTTTGGAATCCTTGCTCTGACACTTACTACCTGGGCTGTGTGACCATGGTGAGCAATTCACTCTCCAAGCCTCTGTTCCCTCATCTGTAAAGTGGGGATAATAATACTTAGATGATGCGCCTCACAGGGTGGCTGTGAGGAAAGGACTTTGTAAACCTGACGACACTAGGGAAGTGGCCCAGTGGATAGAGCTTTGGGAAGCCCTCAGTTCAAATCCCGCCTCAGACACTCCCTAGCTGTGTGATCCTGGGCCAGTCACTAAAGCCTCAGCCTCCTTTGCCTGGCTGTCCAATAAAGGAGGTTGGACTCAGTGGCCTCTAATGCCCCTTCCTGGCCAAGAACCAAGAAAGCAAACATCTCGATTGACCTACTGCCCTACCCTACCTGGGTGCCTATCCACAAGCTGCCGGCTTACTTGTAATAATGAAAAAACTTGCAACAACCCTCATGTCAACGACTGAGAAAGAATTCAACAAAGTGTGGTACGAGCCCTGGGCGAGTCAGGGAGGGAGGCGGGGATTTGATGGTCTTTGAAGTCCTTTCCATCCCTAAATCTATGGTCTGGGCATCCCCTGCCCCAACACTCTCATTTCATGGGATTGGAAAACTGAGGCTCAAGGTGATATGTGTGTGGCACCTTGAAGATTTCTGCATTTTAAGATGTGAAAAAATACAAACCCTACAAGAAAAGAGGAAAAGCGTTATGTGACGTGAGGCCGAGAGAAGGGAACAGGTCGAACACCCCTGCTCTATCTACGTTAAAAAAGAAAAAGCAGCAACAGCAACATTTTCTAAGTACCAGGTGGGAAAGAGGGGGAGGAGCCTCGAACACATTACTCAGTTTAGATTCTTCTTTGGCCGCAATTAAATCATGCAGATTTGGGGATTTATTTTGGGATTTTGTCATTACTGTGGTTTTTTTTTCTTGTTTATATCTGTTGAGGTTGTTATTAAATTCATGATTAAAATAAATAAATAAATTAAAACCTCCAAGCCAAAGGATGTCTTTGGGCACAGAACAAAAGACAAAATTAAGAGCCCAGGGCTGGGAACCCTCAGCCAGCCTCCCAAGCAGACCTGGGCAGCAGGGAAAGAGAGGAAGAAGGGCTGAAAAACAAGAAGGAGGAGGGTGAGACCCAGGGTGCTGAGCTGCATGGAAAGTTCCTTCTGCTGACACAGGCTTCAGCTTGCACTCACTGCATCGGGGGTCAGCGAACCAGGGTTTGAGTCCTAACTTTGTCACTTATTAGCTGCATGACTGTGGCCAAGTCACTTCCTCTTTGGGGTCAGTTTCTTTTACACCTTCTGTAAACTTAGGACGTGAATGACCTGAATAGACACACTCTCACTCTGAGACTCAGTTTCCTCATCTGGAAAACGAGTGGGTTGGACTAGGCCTCTAAGGTCCTCTACAGTTATTACATTTTGTGATCCCGTGAACTGCCTAACACAGAATCCATCATCATAATAGTCATTATTATTAATATAACACATAATAATGTAATAATAACATATACTATGTAAATATAATAACAACAATAGCTAACATTTTATACTGAACTTTAAGGTCTTATAGAAAACTTTACAAATATCTCATTTTAACCTGACAACAGCCTGAGAGGTATATGCTATTGCTATCTTCATTTTATAGGTAACATTTATCTAGTGCTTTCTATGTGCCAGGCACTGTGCTAAGTGCTTTACAATCATTATCTCATTTGATCCTTACAACAACCCTGAAAGGAAGAGCTCTAGTATTATCACCTCCATTTTACAGATAAGGAAACTGAGGCAAACAGTGCTTCAGTGACTTGCTCAGGGTCACACAGCTAGAGGGATCTGAAGCTGCATTTGAACTCGGGTCTTCCTAATTCCAAGTCCAGCATTCTAACCATCGTACTACCTGACTGCCTCTAGCATTAAGAAGAATTTGACATCGTTACCCAAGTCCTCAAGTCAGGAAAGATGGGGAAGAGCTGAGCACAGGTACAATAAGCTAAAGAAGACAGCAAAGACAGAGAACATCTCACTTCTCCATGGCAGCCACGTGGCGGGTCTCGATCTTGCCCTTGGTGTAGAGAGCAGAGGATTTCTCACCACGGAACAGGAGGCCGGCCTTTGTCATCTTCAGAAGAATGAGTCTGACCAGTTCCCCCATGTACAACCCACTAATCATCTTCTCGAACCTGAGATTCAACGAGAGGGACAGAGATGATCTACCCGAGGGAATGACCTTGACCTTGGACAGCACCTTCCTCTGCAGCTCTTCAAGCTGCCTCGGTCAGGTTTGCATCCATACTGACAGCCCTATGAAGTAGGGGACCTGACGCCCCAAGAGCTCGTCCATGGTCACCCAGCCCCACCGGAAGAACTGGCTCCTTCTGGGCCACTTGTCCTGTGTACGCCATTTAGGAACTCCTGGTATGTGTAGTCACACACCTAGGGAAAAACCACACTCCCAATGATTCTGCTGTTGGGAAGATGCCATGAAGGTGTTATCAAAAATGACAAAAAAAAAAAAAAAGGAGCAATTATCAGCTCAAAGATTTCCAGAGCAGCATCATGTATAATTGTTTTTTAAAAAGTAATATGTAAAGAAAGCATCCAGACCCCAAATTGTAAATAGCCTGTACAGTAAGAGGAGAATGCTTAAATAAATTATAGAGAACAGTTACGGAATGCAGACAGAAGATGAGACTCACAAAGAAATCTGGAAAGTTATTTCTAAAAAAATGCAAAGTAGAAAAAACAGGCCTAGAAAAATGACAACCACGCAACAGTAGTACAAGAGAAAAAGTGAATAAAAAGGAACGGACAAAGAATCCAGTGGGGCCTTAGACAGAGAGACTGGGGAAGCATTAGGATACTCTACAGGTGCCGAAATGAAGTGATTGAAATGGAAATATTAACCAAGGTTAGTTGGTTGTTCTAATAAAACATTTAATTTAAAAAAAAAAAAAAGCTCTTCCTACTCAGATATCTCAGGCGCAAAGGCACCCATGAGAGAGGGGACAGGACCTGTCTAAGGGTGCAGATTAGGTCATCGAGGCAGGACCATAGAGTACATGAAAGGGAGTAATTCAAGCTGAATCTGGAGAGGAATGGTGGTGCCAGATTGCAGAAGGCCTTGAATGCCAGGATATAAGGAGTTTGAGTATGTTTTTTAAATAATAGGGAACCTCAGAAGATAATGGAGCAGTAGTGGGGCATGGCCAAAGGTATAAAGGAGAAAAAGCTATTCTGGCAAAGCATGAATATAGATTGGTGTGGGAAGACTGTGGAGGTGGGAAGATCTGTGAGGAGACTGTTACAATAATCAGAGGGGCAGTGTTGCCTAGTGGGTAGAAGTCTGGCCTTGGAGTCAGGAAGACCTGGGATCAATTCTGCCTCTGACACTTAGCAGCTGTGAGACCACAGGCAAATCCCTGAATGTCTCTGAGCCTCAGTTTCCCCATTTGGCTCAAGCCAATGAGGAGAGTGTTCTACTAAAGTCCTCAATTATGAGTAAAGTGGGGCTAATTACAGCCCCTACCTATTCCCAGGGTTGCATACTTAAGGGGCTTTGTAAACTCTAAAGGGCCAGGTCAATGTCTTTCTAGCCAAAGTGCAAGGCAGGGGAATGGGCAACATAGGGACCAGAGCAAAGGAAAGAGAGGAAGGGAAGGGAGACAGAGAAGGCTTGGCAAGACTGGGATTGCCACTGGGCAAGACGCAGTAATGTTATTAGGGAGACATGTCCTTAAGTTTTGAAATCTCAATTTGTCGCCTTTTCACCAGTAGCCACAGAAAACCTCTGCAGACCCAAAGTACAGAGGCTCAAGCAGACAGCCTCCAACCCAAGGAGTGCTTGAAAGACAGAAAATCACTCACAGTTGTTTCCCTGGATTGATGGACCCCAAGTCTATCTCCCTGTCAAACTCAGTCCGGATGTCTTCCAAGGAGCCATCTTCCCCGAAGGCGCCCCACTCAGTGTTGATACACATCCTGCCCTCATCCCCTTCCACCATGTCGATGTTGCTCATGTCTTCCATGTAACAGGCGTTGGTACCAGTTCCTAGAGGAGAAGTCAGAAAGAAACTGGTTGTCACGTACAAAGGGTGATGGTCACATGAAGCTAGGGGGAGACCACCAGACTTTGTGGACCCCTTTAGGGTTTCTCTGCACAGCTCAAAAATTATAAAAAATGAATGTTAAAAATTATTTTTACATACAATTGAGAAAAAATAAAATAAAAGCATTCTTTAAAAAAATAAAGTCACATCAGCAAATAAATATTTCCCAGAGTGAACTCCCTGGCTATAAGAAGGTGAAAGGTTAAAGATCAACCATTTTCTTTTCTTTCTTTCTTTCTTTCTTTCTTCTTTCTTCTTTCTTTCTTTCATTCTTTCATTGTTTCTAGCTTTCTTTCCTTTTGGCAGTGATAAAGACTTAGATATAAGAAGGGAGCATGACAAATATGGCAACCAAAGCCCCTTTTCCTCATTGGTTTAAAACTGGTAAAGATCAAATGAGATAATCTATATAAAAGGCTTTGTAACCAGTAAAGTGCTACACAAATTTGTTGTTATTAAGTCATTTTTGGTCATGTCTCGCACTTCATGACCCTATTTGGGGTCTTCTTGGCAAAGATACTGGAGTGGTTTGCCATTTTCTTCTCCAGATCATTTTACAGAGGAGGAAACTGAGGCAAATAGGTGTGAAATGATTTGCCCAGGGTCACACAACTAGTAATGGTGAGGCCAGATTGAATTCGGGAAGATGAGTCTACGGACTCGATGCACTATGGCGCCACCTAGCTGCCTTATGTAAAAGCAAGCTGCAATTATTGTTACTACTATAGCCTTCTTACTCAGAATCACCAAGTTGGAAGGGACCACCAGAGCCCTTTATTCTAGTCTAACACACACTTGAAAGATATCCCTCTTTACAGCACAGCAAACTGTTCTCCAGGCTCTGCCTAAACGCTCAGTGAGAGGGCAAAGGCATTCCGCCCTATCGGGAGAAGCCACCCATTCCACGCTGGGGCCAGAGAACCCATCAAATCCCTTCTCCCCATGACAGTCCCTCAGACACTCAGAGAGGGCTAGCATGGCCCCAGCATGTCTTCTTTTCTTCAGGCTAAACATGCCCGGTTTCTTCCATTTACCCCCTTATGGCACAGACGCCAAGCCCTTTCCTCCCAGCGTCTCCCTTCTGGATGCTCTCCAGTTGATCAATGTCTTTCTTGACCTTGGAACGGCCAGAACAGGACACAAAGCCCGGATGTAGCCTGTGCAGGGCAGAGAAAAGTGGGACCCTGCCCCTCCCCACCCCCTTCTCTCTTACTGTAGATTACTAAGGTTTCATTAGCAGAGTACAGCAGGACCCTCACCTCTGAATTCCAAAAGCAATGCCTCCCATTCTGCGTTTGAGGCTCACTGAACCCTCAGCTCTCATCCCCTACAGTACATGACTACAAAGACCATCTTTTTCCATCACTCTGCTCCCAGTAACTATCACAGTGCCTTGCACATAGTAGGTGCTTAATAAACATTCGCACTGAGTTCCGTGGTCCTCAGGTAACACTTTTTTTTTGGGGGGGGGAGTTAGGCACTGGGGTTAAGTGACTTGCCCAGGGTCACACAGCTAGTAAGTATTATGTGTCTGAAGCCAGATTTGAACTCAGGTCTTCCTGGTACTCTATCCACTGTGCCACCTAACTGCCCCCTCAGGTAACACTTGACCCACAACTCTCTTTCTCTCCAAGAAACATCTGCTCCCATTCCCCATTATGCCAGGTGTCCACGCTGACCACCACTTCCCTGTGTTCTCTTCCTTCTTAATTCAGCCCACGCTGCTCTCCTCAGCCTGAACGCTCAGGTTTCCCACAGCTGAAATAGGGAATCATTCTGATCAGCTGGATTGTCTACTTGTTTCTTATCCCGGCCCCAAAACAAGTCCAAGAGAAATTACCAATGATGACTCCAACTTCACAGCGTGGGTCATCGTAGGCGCAGGTCATCATGGTTGCCACCGTATCATTGACCAAGGCCAGGACGTCCACATCGATATCCTAAAGGTGCAGAAGTCACATGACCTGTTAGAGAGATGGTGGGCCCAGTTTTCACAACACACTTTCCTTCCTACAAAGAGACATGGTCTCCCCTTTGACCAATAGAGAGAAGCAGGATCCACCATCACTTCAGATGGCCACCATTTATTACTTTCTCTGTCCTATTAGAAGGAAAGTCTAAGGAACTGCCTACTTCTTGGCTGTGATAAAGGCTTAAAAGTGGTAAAAGACCATGTGGAAGATGGCAGCCAAGGTCCCTGGATGTAGCTTCCTGGACGATCAGATCTCAAAGAGTGAACAGGACATTCAGCATCCCACTTACTCAAATGGAGACCTTGGGATATGTCTAATAAATGCTCTTTCAGCTTGGGAGCTGAGAAGTTTCTACAAGAATACACTGGAGTACCTACTGGAGCCACTAGGTTGGGTGGCTGGAGCTTTGACATAGGGCCCTGACTTTAGAGGGCATTGATAGTGCTTGCAGTCCTTTGACAGGATAGAAACAATGGAGTTGAATACCTAGCTAGCCAGAATCAAACTCTACCTCTCCAGTATCAGTCTCATATTGGTTTTGTAAAGTTTACTTTCTTTTCCATGGGAAACTGTATGGACAAATGGCCTTCCAGTCAACTCGTTAATCTTTCCATCATTGACCTCGTGCCAATATCTTGAGACCTATCTCCTTCCACGGGGTTCTGTGCAAGCTCTCCCACGAGGGTGGCCTCCCCCTGTCAGCCTCACATCCCAGGGTCTCCGTCCTCCCCTCCACTACTGAAGCTGCTTTTCATACCCCTTGTCCAGGGTACAAAAATTCCTTGCTACAGAATAACACGAGGACTTTGATAATCAGAAACGGTCCCCTATATCTATGCCAGTCTGTGGGCATCTTCACAGGAGACCATTCTGGGTGACAGAATTAATTATTCTATACTGGAAACTTTGATTATACATACATTCATGCTCAAGGCTTTGGGACCAAGAAGATGTTCTGAAAACAAATGATTAGTTCCAAGAAGGCAAGAGATGGTAATTATAAAGAGAAAGTTGGCTTTAAATCCTAAAGGAAAATAGACAGAAGGTAGCAAGAAAGAGAACAAAACCTAGCAAAAACTGTCCCACTTTGAGTTCTAAATCTGTCTTCTGAAAGCCTACCTGGGTACTGGATGCACAGGACACTCAGTACCATTACACCTGGAAAGTGGGCATGGAAGGCACTACCTCACATTCCGCCATGATTTACAGCAAACTCAAGTGTAGCCACATTTATATATGTGGGCAGTCATCCCAATGGATCGTGTCTTTGTCATCAAGCCCTCTTTGAAAGGGCCAGAGTGGTGGAATTGGGTGGTCATGTAGGCCTAGCCATAGGCAGAATGAACACCTGGATGCGTGTGCATGAGCACACACACACACACACACACACACACACACACACTCACATACACACACACGTCTCTAGAATGGTACAAGAACCTTACCTTGTGTCTTTTCAGAGCTTTGGTCAGGCTGCTCACCACATTTGTATCCTGAACTCCCCGAACCTTAAATTTCTTAGTCCACGAAAGCAGGATTCCCTATGGGAAGTTTTCAGACCCCATCAAAATGCCTGGGAATTTCACAACTGAACATAACCTTGAAATAACTGGTTGGCCTCTTCCTCAGACCCAGTGATCCTCCTTCTTTCACCCTCTCCAGAGGTCTTTCCTCATTCTTTAGCACCTCTAGGACTCTCTTCTGAAGGGTCACAGGGTAGGGAGATGAGGACAGGCCTGGGAATCCAGAGGCCTCCATACCCAGTATGGCTCCCTCACTCCCTAGCAGTGGGACCCAGGTGGAGCCACCATGTTTTTGTCCTGTTTCCCTCTCTGTAAAGTGGAGCAATGTGCCTTAGTGGATAGAGCTGGCCTTGGAGTCAAAAAGACCTACCACTGCCCACTACTGGCAGAATGACTTTGGGTCATCAACCTCTTAGTGTCCCAGGCAAATCTCTAAGAGACCCAAGTTTCAGAGGAAGTTGCAGAAGGAGTTGCCTCACCTGGGAATCCTTATACCAATGACATCACAGTTCTAGTCCCAAAACCCCAATAATGCTGCCCTACCTGCCTCAGACCAAGGTCATCGGACTCCTAAGTCTGTTCTTCCCACTGTTCTGGCCCTTAGTCAGAAACAAAAAGAAAAATGGAAAAACCAGGCGGGCCCCACGCACCTCTTCTAATTTACTCTGCTTGCACGGAAAAGAAAACGTCAGACCAAGAGGCAATTTCTTGTGTTCTATGTTCCGTGTCTTCATGAAATCTGCCGCACAGTCGGCTACATAGTCAAAGAGCTGGGGGGGAGGGAAGGGAGAGGGCGTGAAGGCCAAGCAGGGCCAGCGTGTGGCCTGCTACCTCTTGCCACCCCTTGACCCACGTACCTCAGAACCACTGCCATGGATGATCTCCTTGGGAGTTGGGTAGAACTGACTCTCCATGTGAACGTTCCGCTTGCCGTCCTCGGACACTTGAACCGTCAGGACACGGAACTTGGAGCCGCCCAAGTCCAGGGCAAGGAACTCCCCCTTCTCTGCAAAACAGAAAAGCCTCCTTGGATCTTGGGGTTCAAGACAACCAGGAAGGGCTGGGCCAAGCAAGCAGCAGGCTTGTCCACAGTCACACCAGGAGCAAGTATCAGAAGTAAGATTTAGGGGCAGCTGGGTGGTGCAGTGGATAGAGCACCGGCCCCGAAGTCAGGAGGCCCTGAGTTCAAATCTGGCCTCAGACCAAACACTTGACACTTACTAGCTGTGTGACCCTGGGCAAGTCACTCAACCCCAATTGCCTTAAAAAAAAAGTTTCAAAAAGAAATAGATTTAATGTCTGTCACGCCTTCCTGTCTCTAGATCTATTACACTATGCTGTTGGTCTGAGCCTCAGTTTTTCCATCTATACAATGGGACCATAATATATCAATAGTAACTCAGTGTTGTTGTGAGGTTCACATGAGGTCATGCATGTAAAGAGATTGGAAAATCTGAAAATAGTGTGTAAATGTTGGTTGATAGGATTTAGTGGGCTAAGAGAGCCAGACAGCCCGAGTGGGCAAGTCATGTAACTTCTTTGGGCCCCAGTTTCTTGATCCGTAAAAGGAATGGGGTTTGTAAGGTGGTCTCAAATGTCCCTTCAATTTTCCCAAAGGATTTCATGGGTGGTGACGATCTCAGCCCTGGCCGTCAACAAGACGCTCCACAGACCCGGGGATTAGAGGATCACAGCTAGAGCTGTAGGAAATCTTGGGGACCATCGAGTCCGACCCCCTTGCTTCATAGATCAGGAAATAAGGGAAGCCACTTCCCGGCAGTCACACGAGGGATGCGGAGCTGAGCTTCGATCTGGACCCAGGGCCTCTGACTTCTGTTTCTCCTCCGTCTTCCAGCTGCCAATTGACCCCAGCTCGGAGGATGCAAGGGTCAGGAGGAAATGAGACATGGGGTAATAACTCCCACTGCTTCACATGGTGCTGAGCACCCAGGACGGGGAAGATGGGAAAGACTGTTGCTTCCTTGTACAATTAGTGCTGTTATCACTTTTCAAACATCCAGGGAGGCAGTCTGTGACTCACCCCACTGTCATTTCCAATAAACCTCAGACTGGGATCTGCCTAGGTAGAGGTGACCCTGAGGGAGAAGGCTGATTGACCCTGGCTGGCTCCACACTCAGTCCTGAGCAGCAGCTGCCTAAAGCACCCTCAGCTTTGGCCCCAAATGAAGAATTCAAAGGGTTGTTTAATGAGGCGAACAGGACAGGAGGAAGAACATTGGCCTGGGGGGGGGGGTGTTGGAGACCTGGGCTTGAATCCTGGTCTAACACTTCCTAGCTGTGTGACCTTGAGCAAGTCACTTCCCCTCTCCAGGATTTCCTTTCCTCATCTGTAAAATGTAAGGCCTTTAAAGGTCATTCCAGCTCAGATGTTCAGAAAGCGCCCCCTTCCTCATAGGGCTTTCCCAAGCTCTCTCTCTTTCCCTTTGAACCTTGGCTCGTTGGGGCATGACCTGAGATTTCACCAGTAGGGTCCTCCTGGTGGGAGAGCTCCCTCTACCCATGCACCTTGCTCTGCAGTTTCGTCATAGAGAGTTGTCTGGGGGCACTGAGCCTGGACACTGAGTCCACAGTCACACAGACAGGATGTGTCAAGTGGAACTTGAACTTGGGTCTTCTGTATTGTGAGGCCAGCTCTGCATCACCAGCACCATGCTACTGCTTGGGACCTTGCACAGGGGAGGCTCTTGGTGTTTTATGAATGAATGAATGAATGAATGAATGAATGAATGAATGAATGAATGAATGAATGAATGAATGAATTGCTAAGGGCCCTTTTAGTCTGTTGTCGCGCTTACACTCTAAGTTCCAAGGGAGCCCCAGCTCTGACCTCCTATGGTCTGAGGGTCAGATGATTAATTCCTGCACTGAGTGGATGCAGAGGCAGGGAGACCTAAGCAGCCAGAGTTCTGGCCAAATACCCTCAGAATTAGGGTTTGCTAATCAATTCCCAGAAGAGAGGAAGAAGGAAAATCAGAAGCAGGACAGTCTGTGTGAAATCTCAGACACTTTTCAAAAAAGGAAGAGCACATCAGACACTGGGAAACACTGGGTTCTGAGGGTACTGAGTGAATGGCGGTGGTGGAGGGGATCCCACGGGGTGCCTGGGTGCAGAGCAGCTGGCGTTTTCCAGGAGAGGCAGGTGTGGTCCTGGCTGCCTCCACCTCCCACCCACAAACGTTTCCGCTTACCTTTGCTCCCCAGCCCACTTGTGGGCTGATCCACAGGGCGTGGGTGAGGCAGCAGCAGCAGCACCGGAAGTCTCAAGGACATAGTCCTGGCCACAGGATGACTCAGGGGATCAGAGCTCAACCTGGCATTGGGGTGGGGATGCTGAGGGCCTCAGATAGGTTGGTCATGTCCCTTCCCCCGGGGAATTGTCCCTCAGCTAGACAGGCTGTGTGATTACTCTCAAAGGATCACAGGGCTCAGAGCTGAAAGAGACCTTAGTCTAGATGACTCATTTTACACTTGGGGAAACTGAGGGACAGGTTGACTTGCCCAAGGTCACACAACTAGCAAATAGCAGGGCAGAAGATGGAACCCCGTGCCTCTGACTCCAAGTGTCCCTCGGGGCTCTATTCTGGGCTCTCGGTCTTCTCCCTCTACACTATTTCACTTGGTGGGCATCAGCTTTCCTGGATTCAGTTATAATCTCTATGGTGAAGATTCTCAAATCTATTTAACCAGCCCTGAGCTCTCTCCTGACCCCCAGTCTTGAATCTCTTCATTGGACGTTGGGCATTTCCAATTGGATGTCCTGCAGACATCTCAAATTCAGCATGTCCCAAACCTTTCCCTCCAAATCCTCCCTCCTCCAAACGTCCCTATTATTGCGGAGGGCACCACCCTCCTCTCAGCCCCTCAGACTTTCAACCTAGGAGTCATCCTGAACTCCTCATCCTCTCTCACTGCCCCCCCATCCAATACAGTGCCAAGGCCTGCTGATTTCACCTTTGCAGCATCTCTCAACCAATCTCCTCTGATGCTGCCACCACCCTGGTGCAGCCCCTCCCCACCTCATGGCTAGATTACTGCAGTAGCTGCTGGGGGGTCTGCTGGCCCCAACTGTCTCCCCGCTCCAGTCTGTCCTCCATTCAGTTGGCAAAGGTATCTCCCTAAGGCACACGTCTGACCATGTCTCACACACACACACACACACACACACACACACTCCAGTGGCTATCACCTCCAAGATCATACATAAAACCCTTTGTTCAACTTTTTTAAAACCCTCCATAACCTCTCCCCCAACCACCTCCAAAGTGTCCAGCTATCCAGACACTGGCCTCCAGGCTGGTCCTCTAACCAGACCCTCCATCTCATGACTCAGGGCATTTTCTTTGGCTGTTCCCCATTTCCAGAATGCTCTCCCTACTTATCTTGGACTCCTGGCTTCCTTCAAGTCCCAGCTAAAATTCCACCTTCTACAGGAATATTTCCCCATCATTCTAGCCCCGTCCCTCTGATGGCTATCTCTACTTTTTCTTGTTTGTACAGTGTTTGCGTGTTGCCTCCTCCCTTAGACTGTGAGTTCCTTGAGGGCAGGGTCTGTCTTTTGTCTCTCTTTGTATCCCCAGCCTTGGCACAGTGCCTGGCACACAGTAGGTGCTTAATAAATGCCCACTGACTGATACCACACCACTGATCCTAGCCATCCACAGCTGCTTGCTAATAAACTAGAATATCCAAGCCCAAACACGAATTGGTGAAGTCCAAAGAGGTGATTTTGAAAGCCTTTTGCAGAGTGATGCCTTCAATATTTCCAGAGATCCTTGGAATTTTAGAGCTTAAAGAAACCCTAAAGATCACTGAGTTAAAACCTCTCACTTTACAAATAGAGAAACAGACCCAGAGAGAGGAAGATACCTGCCTAAGGTCACACAGGCAAGAATGTCAGGATTGGAACTCAAGGCCCTGATTGATTCTCAGCCTAGCACTTCCCACTGAGCCAGACTGCCTCTCCTGGGGATGCTTCTCTGGGGGGGAGACTGGGTGGACTGAAGACCACAATTCTAAACTAACCCAGAGCCCACCTGACAAGGGTCATTCTCAGAAGTTTCGGGGCAAGGCCTCTTCTACTTCCGTTAGACATTTGTTTTGTGTCTTTGACCCATCCCTGTGATTCCATCAATGAAGGAAGCTCCTGGAGGGGGGAGTCTTCCTCTGCCAGCCCGGATGGGCACAGACTCTGTAACCTACAGGCTTTGAGAGCTGCTGGGACACCAAGGGGAAGGGCCTTACAAGACCTTTTTGGCCGATAAGCCATCGATGACTGAGATGAAATCAAATCAAATCCTGACTCAGACACTTCTTATTCTGTGTAATCCTGGGCAACTCACTTAACTTCTTTATGCCTCAGTATCCCCCATGAGGATAATAACAGCACCTACCTCCCAGGGCTGCCATGAAAAGTTGTAAAGCTCTTTGCAAACCTTTAGGTGCTCTTTAATACTAGCTTTTATCAACATTATTGTTATCTTTGTGCCTCCTCCTTTGTAAATAGAGAATTACCAACTTAAAATGTGACCAGTCAGCAATGAATGAATGAATGAATGAATGAATGAATGAATGAATGAATGAATGAATGAAAAGACAGTTATTAAGCACTTACAACATGAGAGTCAACATACTGCCACATAAAATCAGCTGGATTTGGAATCGGAAGGCCTGAGTTCAAACCCCTAATATGCCACTGATTAGCTGTCTAACCTTGGGGAAGTCAGGTCACTGCCTCTGGACCTCACTTTCCTGATCTGTACAACGAGAGGCTTCAGTAAAATAATCTCTAGGGTCACCTGCAATCACTAAATCCCACAACACCCTCCTTGCGAGTCATTGGTGAGTGGACGGGGCTGACAACTCACTTCCCATCTACATCCACCATTCCCTAGCCAGGCAGCTGAGAGGGCAGACTCGGTCAGGCCTGGAGGAGCTCTGTGGCCCAGACGGGAGCGCTCACCTGATCCGTCCGGGATGGCCCTGACAAAGGTGGGCAGCATTTTCACACACGCCGTGGGGTTGGTGTCCTTCCCCAGGCCTTTCTCCATCTCAGCTTGGAAACGGGTCATGATGTCCAGCAGGGTGTCATCTGAGAGTCGCATGTGATACAGAAACCTGTCCACCTGAAACAGACACCGAGGGTGTGACCAGAGGAGCCCTGAGGCCCCCCGTAGCACGCCCTCACCCCATGCCCACCAGCCCCTGCCATCTTGAATTTGACAGCTTCTTGCCACTTCACAATGGCCAATGATGCTGACAGGCCATCCCCTCTCCAGGCCTCAATTCCCTCATCCATCCCTCATCTGTAAAGGACGACCTGAGGTCTCCTTCCAGCTCTAAGTGTGTGATATTGGGACAGCCCTGGACTTGTAGTCCACTGAGTGTTCACCTAGCCTCAGACACTAACTCTATAGCCCTGGACAAGTCACATAACTGCTGCCTGCCTCAATTTCCCCATCTGTAAAATGGGAATAATAATGGCACCCGCTTCACATGGATGCTGCGGGCATCAAATGAGACATTGTAAAGCATTTTGTAAACCTTAGCATGCAATATAAAAGTTAGCTGTTACAATTACATTATTAGTTATCCCCTAATCTTACTTGTCCTGCCTTCCTCATAGGGTAATTGTAAGAGAAAAAGTCTCTCTTAAAGCACTAGAGGACTTTCAGTATTTATTATTAATATTCACCGCCGAGCCCGATAGGAAGAAGTTGCATCCTTAATGGGTAGCTGACGTGATTTCAGGGAACAGGCTATGAGCACATCACTGTGCTCGGCGAAGCATTCACAGATCCGTCCGAGTCCACGAGTGACAGACTGCCCTCCCGACTGACCCCTGAGCCTGGGCAGTGCTGCCTCAAGTGCCCGGGTCGGACAATCACCAGTGACCCCAGAAGCAGGACCAGAAGTGGACTCACCACTTCTCTGGACAGCAACCTGAGCTAGAACCTTGAGTAGAGGCTGGCTGTACGAGATCTGCCCCACTCTGCCCCAGCCTGCAGATTCCTTTGGTTTTCTTCTGTAGAACTTCTGAATTGGCCTCCCTGTGCACATCCTGCTCCACTCTAATAGAATGGGAGCTTCCTGAGGGCAATGAGTGTTTCAGTCTTTGTCTATGGAACCCCAGTCTCATGGCAGAGCTTAATAGGCACTTAGTAAACACTGAATGACTGAAACCTCTTTCCTGCCCCCTCCCCTCCACCCAACATGTCTCACAAGGACAAACATAGCAGAGATCTAATGGGAGCTGCCCCTTACAAAGGCTGTATTGTAGTATGTGAATAAACCACTGGAGCTCAGGGACAGTAGGGCCTGTTTGCTCCTTTGAATCTCCAGGGCCTGGCACATGGTAGGTACCTACCAAGAGTTTGTTCACTGGTTAGCTTTAGGGTCAGGACGACCTGAATTCAAATCCTGCCTCTGACCTTGCCAAACTGTGTGACCTCAGAGAAGTTATTTTTCCCTTTTCTGTCTCATTTTTCTCACCTAAAAATGGGATAATAGTAACCCCTATCTCTTATGATTGTTGTGGGGCTTTAAAGGAGAGGATGAATGCAAAGTGCTGTGAAGTTTGCCGACTGTGATGTACAAGTCACTTATAATCCAATGCGGGGCAGCTAGATGCCTTAGTTAATAGAGCATAGGTCTTGGAGTCAGGAAGACCTGAGTTCAAATCCAGTTTCAGACACTTACTAATTGTGTGACCCTGGGCAAGTCGATTAACCCTGTTTGCCTCAGTTTCCTTATCTAGAAAAGGAGCTGGAGAAGGAAATGACAAATCACTCCAGTATCTCTGCCAAGAAAACTCCAAATGGGGCCACAGAGTCAGACATGAGTAATCGACTGAACAGTAACAATAATCATTATTAAGGAAGCTGAGGGTTGTACCTCAAACACAAATAGGCAAAGTTCCTGCGGCCATTTAGTGAAGAACAAGTGAAAAGCATGTTTAATTAGGTGTTTACTAGGTGCCAAGCACCGTGCTAAGCCATGTATTACATTGGGGCATGGGCTGTGGGCAGAGAATGATGACATTGTCTCTGAGAATGCCGAGCCTGCTTCTGCCATGACTCATGAGACACGAGGCGGAAGAAGAAAGCCCAATTGAGATGCAAATTGGCAAGTCCCACCACAAGCCTGGGAACAGCGCTGCCGGGCACCCAGAGTTCAGAGTCCAGCCAACCCCCCCTCTTGGGGTGGACAGAGAGGAAGCTGGCCATAAAATTGCGGACCTCCAGCCCACACTCCTTAAAAGACCAGAGAGACCGGCCCTTTGTTGAATTTTAAAGGAGATGGACACAGTGTGATTGGGGGTGCAGGGTGGGGATATTGTAGATGCTTTCAAATTCACAGAGGCCAAAGAAACAAAACCAGGAATAAAGTGCAGCGTTCACAGCTTTCAGGGCAGGGGCACTGGAATCTTCAGGTGGCCGGCCCCACGAAGCTCCCCTGGCAGACAGAGAGTTGATTCACCTGGGCTATCTTGACTTCTGATGGCTGCAGTAAAGGAGGGGGTGCTGGGGCCTGGGGTTACAAAACCGTCTTTGGAGGCAGCTAGATGGCGCAGTGGACAGAGCACCGGCCCTGAAGTCTGGAAGACCTGAGTTCAAATCTGGTCTCAGACCAAACACTTGACACTTAACTAGCTGTGTGACCCTAGGCAAGTCACTTAACCCCAATTGCCTAAAAAACAAAAACAGAAAAAAAACCCAAAAAAACCAAAGTCATCTTTGACTTCCTGGGCATCCCAGAAGGAACACACCACCCCCAAGGTCGTTATGTCAGGCTGCTTCATTTGCCTAAAGCAGGGCTTTTTAAGCTTTGGGTGCCATGGACAGCTCCAGCCACCAGAGAAGCTTAGGGACTCCTCGGGCACAACGTTTTTAAATAACTGAAGAAAAGTTATAAACATTCAACCAGAGGTTAGGGAAAATGAAGATAAATTTTTTATACCTTGTTACGTTTTTACCTCCCGCAATCTGTCCATGGTCCTGTTTAAGACTTTCTGACTTAAAAGGAGTCCACAAAATGCCCCTTTAACTTTTAATGCTCCAGGGTTAGAATCACAGAATTTTAAAGGTGGAAGGAGCCTTTAAAGGTTATTTTATCTTCCTTACCCTCATTTCACAGATGAAACTACACAGGGCCTCATAGAGGTCCCAAGTTCACGCAGGTATGTAACAGCAGAAGTAGGATTGGAATCCAAGTCCTGACTCCAGATACAGCATATATACTCCCCACTGTGCCATGGAGCAGGATTTGAACCCAGGTCTTCTCAACTCTAAAGCTAGCATTCTGTCCTTGAGCCTTGGTTTTCTCATCTGTAAAATGAGAATCATGGCTGTAATCCCCATCTCCGCACTGGGAGGCCCAGAGAGACTAAGTGATTCGAAGTCACACCAGACTCCAGTTGGCTCAGAGCTAGAAGACCCTAAGAAGGCCTCTCTCTCAACCTCATCATTTTTACAGATGAGGAAACTGAGGCCCACAAGGGCATACAACTAGGAAGTGACAGAGCTGAAATTTGAACCCAGGGCTCTGTCTACATCGCCACCTTGATAATAAGAACAGCTCCCCATTTCTCTAGGGCTCTGAGGTTTGCAGAGAACTTTACTCATAATAATCCCTCTGTAGGGGAGTTGGTGGTAAGTACGATGACTGTTATGCCCATTTCAAAGGTAGAAAAACTGAACCTGTAGCATCGACAGGGACACGCAGTGAGCAATAATGACTGTAACAATAAATCCCACTCCTCAGGGCTTTGAGGCTGGCAAAAGGCTCTCCTCAGCAAGGCCCTGAAAGGCAGGTAGCACAAATATAGGGTGTCCCAAAAGTCTTAGCTAAACCTGTTCCGGGGATGCCCCCCCATTTATCCTTGAGCTCCAGAGGAAACTTGACCAGAGACACAGAGTCAGGAAGCATTAGTAGCAGACAGACTGGCACTCAGGTCTTTATTCACAGGGTCAGAGATTTAGAGCTGGGGAGGTCCTGAGAGATCACCGAGTCTAACCTCCTCCTTGGACAGATGAGGAAACTGAGTCCTAACGAGGTTGAGTGACGCAGGGTCACATATCTGAGGCAGGATTTGAACCCGAGCATTGCTGATTCCAGATCCAGCGTTTTATCCTTTACACCCCAGTATCTTTGCCCTTCATCGGGCTGTGCCCTGGCACAGTAAGCACCTAATAAATGCTTGCAGGCTTGACGGACATCTAGAAGAGACGTGTGGAGGCAGATAAATTGGGATGTCCAACCTATGGAGTCCTGTTACCAAGGTGGGAGTGAAATGCTGTCTCTGGCAAATGGGAGGGGCCAAAAAAACAGCCCCAAGAAGTGACTTAGCCAAGATCACACCAAATACTAAGAACAGTCTGAATTCAAACTCAAGGCTATAATTCTAAATCCAGCAACCTTCCCACTGGGTCCCAATGCTAGTGAAGAGTCAGCCCAAGTTACAAAGAATTACTACGATGGTACTAATTAATACTGGAGTATATTTAAGCAGAAGGGATCAGAAGATTCATTCTTATGCAGTAAAGAAATGCTCTACCCCTTCCATAGCCAGCAGAGGGCCCCAGAAACCTAACAAATAAAATTTGACTTGTTTGACATAGACATGCTTATGTTTATGTAAGTAGTTAAGCATACAAATATGTATTTATATTTACATAAATGGTTCAGATTTTATATATCTGCATTTGCTAAGTTGGTAAGATTTTGTAATTTAAAAAAAAAATTCCATAGCCCATCTATCTTGGTTGGAGTTCACTTGGAGTCTTCTTGCTCCAACCATCTTTTTCTCTTGAAATTAAATGCTGAGACTTTGTGATTTCCTGTGTCTACGTATCAAAGTCCAAACACAGGTTTTGGTTTTTAATAAATAAGGATCCTAAGGGTCACAGGGCTTTTACCATGTACAGAGCAGAGACATGGCACTCAGAGCTGGCAGAGGCCCATCTCAAGGGCTCTATTCGCATGGACCAGACATTAACAGCTGGAAGCCCACTGGAAGCCCAGGAGGGGAAAGCCTTCACAGGCTAGGCGGATGCTCAGCAAAGGGGCTTGATCTTTCCCAAACACCTGGCTGGGGAGATTCGACACAGCCCCCAAAAAGCCCAGCTTGGCTTGGACTTTGCAGGTCACGCGTCCGAGAATCATAGAGTTAGAGGTGAAAGGGCCCTCAGAGGCTATCTCCCCCATTTTATAGATCAGGAAGATGAGTCTGAGCAAGGTTAAATGACTTGCCCAGAGTCACACAGATAATAAGGAAGGTCTGAGGTGGGATTTGAATTCAGGTTCTGACTTAAAGCTACCTGGCTGCTTTAAAGCTAGACCTTTGAGATCTTCGATAGAATCCCCAGCTTCCTTCAAGGCTCAGCTCGGGGGGCATCCCCTCCCTGCCTGTTCCCTTTGTACCCTTCCCCTCTTCCAGAAATTACTTTGTAGTTCTCTGTGTACTTTTCCCCTGACATAACATAAGCTGCTTGAGGGCAGGGATGGTTTCATTGTTTGTTTTTGTATCTCTAGCTCCTGGCACGCTTCCTAACACACAGACTCACTGCAGATTGGGAATGGGGAGGGACCTCAGAAGCCACCCACCTGAAGCCTTTCAGTTAACAGATAAGGAAACTGAGGCCCAGAGAGGCTCAATGGTCGTCCAGGCAGAAACTGATATTGCAAGGTGCTTAATTAACGCTCATTTGCTGATTTATTTGAGCCCTCCATTTTACAGATGCTGAAACTGAGCCTGAGAGAAGCAGAAAGAGATTTGCCCAGGGTCACACAGTTAACAGTAGAGATGGGGTGGGGTTTCTTGAGGCAATCAGTAAAATGATTTTTCTAATAAAACATCACAAGAAAATAATCATGAGCCGATAATGGTTCTCTCCAATCGTTTACTGAATATTGACCTAACGACATAGATGAAAACAAGAGAAAGCCCCTTCTGGTCAAAATACCTGGGTTCAAATCTCACCCCTAATTCATATTAATGATGTGACCTTAAGCAAGTCGCCTAATTTTTTAGAGACTCAGCTTCCCCATTGTACAAGGAGGGCCTCAATCCAGACGCTTCCAGGCCTCTTCTAACCCTGAATTTAATATCCTGGGATAGCATGAATCAAATAGACTGGGAAGAAACTCAGGGACTGTGATCTGCCCTGGCTGAAAATACTCAGACCCATGAAATTACAGATCCATCCATCTAAGCAGCTTAAACCCTCTTTCCCCCAGGTCCCCATGTCTGTCCCCACACAGTGTCCCCACATCAGCAAGGGCACTCCCCTCGAGAGGCTGCCCCAAAGCCTAGATTTCTTCAGATTGACCCCCGGTGATCCTGGGGGTCTTTCTCCCAAGCATTCTCCCCAGGGAGGCTGCTCCCTCCACCCCTTGCAGCTCCCCCCTAACTGACCTTCTTAATCTGATCTTCTTTCAGCTTCGCGAAATAAAAAGCCAGCAAGTGTACCGCAAACATTTTCCTTGGAGAGCTGGTCTGGCCCCAGGGCACAACTCTTTCCCAGAGAATGGCAGCAGTGTTTTCTGCCAACAGTTCAGCTCAGACCTGCTCCCTTCACAGGGAAGCCTTCGAGGAAGGAGCCTATCTCCACGCCGCCCAAATGGTTCAATGATTAAACTTTACCTTAATTGCTGTCCCTTCCTCCCTCCCTCTCGTGACACTTTCTCTATTGTCTACAAGGAAGGCTCTGGCAGGTCATCAGGGGATCAGGGAAGTGTGTGTGTGTGTGTGTGTGTGTGTGTGTGTGTGTGTGTGTGTGTGTGTGTGTGTGTGTGTGTGTGTGTGTGGAGGACGGGGGAATGATCTGCTGAGGGACCATTTTAGATCTTTTTTTCCCCCAGTAATTGCTATGCGAAGCTCTCTACCCAACCCTCTGCCAACCTTCTGTTGGCCAAAACAGGACCTAAATTAAAGGAGTCAGAGCTGGGGTGGACGGAGAGATGAGTAAGTTTCTAGTACTTGGAAAGAGGAACTCTCAGCCACACTAGAAGGGACCTAGGAGTCCCCTAGGTGCGTCTTGGATGACTCTGGCAGGCTGAGGACGCCTGTGGATTCTTTTTCAGTCATGTTTTTAAATATACCAAATAAATCACATAGGATTACAACAGAAACTAATTAGATTGAAATACAGTTATTGAAATATTGTTTTTAAAAAAATAAGTTACCTATATTTTCGTGGTGGCAAAGAATTGCAAATTGAGGGGATGCCCATCAAATGGGGAATGGCTGAACAAGTTGTAGTATACAATTGTGATGGAATACTGTTGTTCTATAAGAAATGACAAGCAGGATGATTTCAGAAAAATCTAGGAAGACATATGTACTGATGCGAAGTGAGCAAAATAGTGAAAACACTGTACACAGCAATATCATGCAATGATTGACTGTGAATGATTTAACTATTCTGAGCAATACCATGATCTAAGACAATTCTGAAGGACCCATGATGAAAAGTGCTACCCACCTCCAGAGAAAGAACTGTAGAGTCTGAATGCAGATCAAAGCAGACTATTTTCACTTTATTTTTCTTGTCTTTTTCTTTTTCTTTTTTTTTTTTGGTCTGTATTTTCTTTTTTTTTTTTAAGGCAGTTGGGGTTAAGGTACTTGCCCAGGGTCACACAGCTAGTAAGTGTCAAGTGGTCTGAGGCTGGAGTTGAACTCAAATCCTGACTTCTGGACCGGTGCTCTAACCACTGTGCCACCTAGCTGCCCCTGTATTTTCTTTTGCAACATGGATAATATGGAATTATGTTTTGCATGACTGCAAATGTATAATCTATATCAAACTGCTTGCCTTCCCATGGAAGGGGGAGGGGAGGGAAGGAGAAAAAGGATTTGGAATTCAAAATTTAAAAAAAAACAAATGTTAAAAATTGTTTTTACATGTAATTGGAAAAATATTTTAAAAATTAAAAAAAAAAATAAGTTGACTGATCCCAGGTTAAGAGCCCTGAAGTCCAGCTCCCTGTTTTTCCAACGGAGCTGTTGAAGCCCAGAGAGGTGGAATGTGGCCCAGGGCCACACAGGCAGCAAGAGGCAAAGTCAGGACACAGTCCAAAGCCTGGACTCCTCATGCTCCACCCTCCTCCCAACCAGGTTTTCAGTCAGGTCTGTTACATTCTTTCTTTTTTTTTGGTTAGGCAATGGGGTTAAGTGACTTGCCCAGGGTCACACAGCTAGTAAATGTCAAGTGTCTGAGGCTGGATTTGAACTCAGATCCTCCTGACTTCAGGGTTGGTGCTCTATCCACTGTGCCACCTAGCTGCCTCCAGGTCAGTTATATTAAAAACAAAAGAGGGGAGACCTCGAACCCTGTTAGTGGGTCCATTCAATCAGTTAGGAGGCACCTTACTAGGTGACATCCATAGAGATCCCCAACTCTTTCAGCTCAGACCACAGCCTTTATCACCACAGACAGCAAGAGGAAATACAAAGATGAAACAGGAAGGGCAAACCAGTCACTTAATACCTGGGAAAGAGATTGGGAGCAGAATGAGGTAAGGAGTCCAGAACTCAAAGTACAAGATACATTGATTTATTCAGGGGGGGAGGAGAGAGGTAGGGGTGTGTGTGTGTATGTGAGAGAGAGAGAGAGAGAGAGACAGAGAGACAGAGACAGAGACAGAGAGAGACAGAGAGAGAGAGACAGAGAGAGAGAGTTTATAAGAGCTTTCTTCCTATAGTCAGTGGTTGGACAACATACACAAAATTTTTTTTTAAAGTTTGTATGATCATTTCAGCATGCAACGAGTGGATTGAGCATTAGACTTGGAGTCGGGAAGACCTGGGTTCATATACCACCTCAGACATTTGCTAGCTTGGTGACCCTGGGTAAGTCCCTTAGCCTCTGTGAACCTCAGTTTCCTCATCCATAACATGGGGCTCATAATGCCTACAGTAAACACTCCTTGTGGGTTTGTTGTGAGGCTCAGATGGGATAACACAAGGTGTCCCAAAAGTCTTAGTGCCACTTTAAGCTTTAATAACTTTTATGTGATGCTAACGTGCTAAGTGTCATCCACCATTGCTCTTATTGCTAAATGTTGTCTCTAGAAGGGGGCGTGTGTGGCACGATGACTAGATCAAAGCTGCCTGAAAGTCAGGAAGACCAAGATTTGAGTTCTGATTCTGATGCATGTTGGTTGTGTGACCTCGCAGGGTGCCCTAAGCTGCTCTCCGAGGGAGTCGGTTGAAGAACATCAGTGTTTATTTTTAGAACAAAGGTGCTTAGGCTGTTTTGTGTTCTGGATCGTGTGGCAGTGCCTGGTGGAGCCTGGGGACCCCTCCTCAGAATTGTGTTTTCAAATATCCAAAAGACAGAATTAGAAAGGAAGCTGATTAAATTGAGATATTTACCAAAATCTTTTTTTTTAAAGTCCACAGACCCTAGATTAAGAACCCCTGTTCTAAGAGAAAGTTTCACTAACACCAATAAAATGCAGTGTGCCCCCTTCCCTCCCACCCTTCAATCCCATTTAGTCAGACTATAACCTCATTTCTTTTTTTAATATTTTTTCCATTTTTGTTTTTATAATTTTGAGTTCCAAATTCTCTCTTTCCCTTCCCTCCCCCTCCTTGAGAAGGCAAGCAATTTGACACGGATTATACATGTGTGCAGTTGTGCAAAACATCTCCATATTAGCCAGGTTGCAAGAGAACACAGACCAAAAAAAAGAAAAATAAAGTAAAAAAAACCCCACAAACCATTATGCTTTGATCTGCATTCAGACTCCCATCAGTTCTTTCTCTGGGGATGGATAGCATTTTTCATCATAGGTCCTTCAGAATTATCTTGGATCATTTCTTGTTCAGAGTAGCGAAGTCTTTCACAGTTGATCATTATACAATATTGTTGTCACTGTGTACAATGTTTTCCTGGTTCTGCTCATTTCACTTTGCATCAGTTCGTGCAAGTCTTTCCAGATTTTTCTGGAAGCATCCTGCTAGTCATTTCTTATAGCATAATAGTATTCCATCATATTCATACACCACAACTTGTTAAGCTATTCCTCAATTGATGGGCATCCCCTCAATTCCCAATTTCTATTTGATACATGACTAATGTGAAAATAAGTTTGGTATGAATGTATAAGTAGAGTCTATATCCACTTGCACACCACCTTGGGGTGCAGGGAAGGGAGAGATGGGGAGAAAATTTGGAATTCAAAATCTTACGGAAATGAATGTTGAAAACTAAAAATAAATTAATTTTTTAAAAATTAAAAAAAATAAAAACATCATTCAGAGAAGGGGTCCATAGGTTTTGCTGCACGGCCTGAGGAGTCCCTTTAATATAACCAAAACACAAATTATTACAGAATACAAACTTCTCTCTATGACACTGAAACCCTCCCTACCACAAGCCGGTCAAACTGGCGTCTTCTTGTTCCTCACACAATCTCCATGCCCGGGACACTCTCCCTTCCTCCCCTCTACCTCACAGGATGAGTTTCCTTCAAGGCTGAGATAAATGCCACCTCTTACAGGAGGCCTTCCCTGATCTCAACTCCCCTCAGAACTATCTTGTGTACATCTATGGTACCTGTTGTCTTCGCCAATATAGGGGAAAGAAGACTGCTTCTGGAGTCAGAGAACATGGGTTCAAATCTCACCTCCCACGATGACTGCCACAAGCCTATCACTACACATTCATAGGCTATAGGTCGGACCGGACGGCTTCTGAGGCCTTTGAGCTCTAGAGCTGATTCTTTTTTTTTTTTTTGGTGAGGCAATTGGGGTTAAGTGACTTGCCCAAGGTCACACAGCTAGTACATGTCAAGTGTTTGGTCTGAGGTCGGATTTGAACTCAGGTCCTCCCGACTTCAGGGCCAGTGCACCACCTAGCTTCCCCCTCTAGAGCTGATTCTAACACAAACTTCTTGGGGGCAGGACCATGTTTTCTCTTGAATCCTCAGCACCTGACACATGGCCTGGGTCGGTGTTTTTTTAATTTGCTTTTCAAGCACCTGAGCAGAAACGTGAGTGGATGAGCACCTTGGCAGCAGGAGGACAAGAAGCCTTAGCTCCCAAGGAAGAGGGGAGAGAGGGAAACAAGCATTTATTAGGCACCAACTGGGTGCCAAGTGCTTTACAGATATCCCATCTGATCCAAAGAATTAGCCTGGGAAGCAGATGCTACTATGATCCCCATCTTGCGGCTAAGGACACTGAGGCAGAGGTTGTGACTTGCCGGGGTGGAAGAGCTCGGAAGCGTCCAAGGCTTTATTCAAACTCGTCTTCCCGACTCCAGAGCCAGCACTCCGTCCACGGTACCGCCTAACTACTAATTGCTACGAGGTCGGCTCCACGCAATTACAGGGTTTAGAGTCGGAAAGGACCCTCCCTAGAGATCCTCTACTCCAATCCCTTCATTTTGTTTTTTAAATTAAACTTTATAACCTTAAATTCAGCAAAAATTCACTTTGTACTCCGCAGTTCCCCCACTGGGAAAGAAGGAAAAACAAAATGCCTGTTACAAACATGCATAGTTCAGCAAAACAAAATTTCACATTGCATCTATTTGAAAAAAAAAAGTCTTATTCTGCACGGGATCC